ATGACGGCGAACATCCCGTGGCTTACATCAGCAGGAAGTTGTTGCCCAGGGAGGTAAGCTACGCCGCCATTGAAAAGGAGTGCCTGACAGTGGTGTGGGTCCTCAAGAAATTACAACCCTATCTCTGGCTTACATCAGCAGGAAGTTGTTGCCCAGGGAGGTAAGCTACGCCGCCATTGAAAAGGAGTGCCTGACAGTGGTGTGGGTCCTCAAGAAATTACAACCCTATCTCTATGGACAAAAATTCACCCTGCTCACAACCCATTAGTGTGGCTTAACCGGGTCTCTGGGGACAATGCCCGTCTGTTAGCAGACGGGCATTGTCCCCAGAGACCCGGTTAAGACCCGGTAAGCAGAACGCAAATGCCGACGGGCTGTCCAGATAGACAGCCATTAACAAGTGATCCGTGAGTAATTCCCCAGTCATCCCCTGGCCGGGTTCAGTTCGTCTCTGTGAACACCCCAAGATCCTGTTTAGAATGCTTAGTTAGAACGTTCACACCTCGCTAACGAGGTGTGAAAATCGCAAACCGCAAGGAAAGCCTCGGCACGTGTTCGTTAGAAGAACATCATCCATTGGGAGCATTCACCTCAGGGAGGGGGGATTAATTTTTAGTTTTTTTAATCCAACTCTTTTACATTTTTTTTGGCAGCCCCTGTCCAACCACCCTGTGCCCCCACCACAGCCTTGTGTCCCCTTCTAGTGCTCCTGTGCCCCTACCACAGCCCCTGTGCCCCCTATAGCCCCTGCCTCCCTCCACTGCTCCTATCACCCTCTAGAGCTCCTGTGCCCCTTTTCTCAGTCCCTGTGCTCCCTCCTCACCACAGTCCCCCACTCCAGCTTCTGTCCCCCCCTCCAGCTTCTGTCCCCCCTACCTCTCTATCTCCGGTGTCTCCCTCCAGCTCCTGTCCCCCACTCTCCAGCTCCTGTCCTTCTTCTCCTGTCCCCCCTCTCAAGCTCCTGCCCCCCCTCTCCAGCTCCTGTTCCCCCCTCTCCAGCTCCTGTCCCACCCCCCCCAGCTCCTGTCCCGCCCTTCCCCAGATCCTGTCCATCCCCTTCTCTAGCTCCTGCCTCCCCCCCACTCCGCAGCTCCTGCCCACTTCCTCCCCCCCTCTTGAGCCCCTGGGGGGATGAAAGAAACCCAAAGGGGCTGAGATACACAAGGGGGGTTGTAAGAAAAAGCACAAGAGTGTGTAAGACATAGTAAAGGGGGGATAAAATACAATAAAGAGGGTTAAAAATTAAAAAGGGTTATGAGGTTACAAGAGACACAGGTGAAGACGCATTTTATTTGGGGGGGGGGGCGTCAAAATGCGTCTTCGTCTGTATAGCCAAAAATCCTTGCACTGGCTCTGTCTATGTCTTAATGATAATACTCTCTCCTTGCTACTTGCCTTTATTTATATTTATTATCTTTTCTTTCTTGTGCCAGATATTAATATCTGGGAGAAGCCATTTTGTTCTCCTCTGCCTAAGATGTCTGCAGTTTTCCATGGGATTGATTGTACTGATGGATTGTGGGTAAATTTGACTGGCAGCTGAAACAGAACCTTGCTGTTAGCTCTGCCCATTGTCAGGTTTTGCCATCCTGATTGCTATACATGAGGGAAAAGTAACCCCTACTTTTATTTTGTGTATTTTAAGAAAGCTAGAGCTCTCAGGAAATAAATAAAAAATTTAGACACAGGATACGGAGAGCTATAAAGAAAAAAAATAGATTACATTTATTTTTGGTGACAAAGCCCCTTTAATTCCTAATAAATAAGCATGCTATCGGGTAAAATAGCAGCATTAAGGTGTAACCAATCAGGTCTTCAAAGGAAGCGATATAAGGGGTGAATTTAATGTAGACTTTTGACATCTGCTTTTTCAGTTGAAGAACAAGCAGAGAGCAGATGTCAGAGTAAGTAAAAGAATGTTATTGTATATCAGCGAAGAATAATCTGCCAGAGATGTGATACTTCCTCCAGAAAGCCCTACAGCACCATAAACTTCTTCAACTTAAAATACTGTTCCCAAGGTTCAAGCAATAAAACCACAAAGTTTCTTTAACAACAGAAAGTGGGTTGAATGTAATCATAAAAATGTTTTAAAATGAGCAGCTGTGTGCATGCGGTGATGCATTGCAAGCTGTTCTAAAGATGTTCTTATCGAACATTGTTATCTGGTGTTATAGAGCAGAGGGCCAGATAATATTTAGAACGTGCATTGTTGTGGCCTCAGACACTTACACTCAACGGTTATCCCAAGCACAATGGCCACATTGGTGATTTCAAGTTGTCATGCTGCCTGGAGTCTGTAGAAGCAGTGTTTCACTTTGAAATGCTGCACATACTGAGTTTAAGCTGTTGGATGTCTGGAACCAGGCCCGGACTGGCCATCGGGCACACCGGCAAATGCCCGGTGGGCCGCAGTGGCCATGGGCCAAGGCCAGCAGGGGAGGTCCCAGGATCTCCCCTTTCCTGTCTATGCAGGGCCGGCACTATCCGAGCGCCGGCCCTGCTGTATTCCATGGAGGGTCGTGGGGAGATCAAAGCTCCCCCTCCCCGGCCCACTTGGATAGATGTGCGGATGGGAAGGGAGGGAGAGGACCTGGCTCTATCTTGCAGCTCCGCCGGGTTCCTCTTGCGAGATCCAGAGCGTTGCCATGGCAACGACCGGATCTCGCGAGAGTGAACTCTTGCCCGCAGGCTAGTGTTCACTCACCACTGGACCACCAGGGATGGTGTGCGACTGCGAGTGCCGTTCCTCCCACCACTCTCTCCCAGGTACCACTGTACTGGTTCCCCCCTCCCAGGCTAAAGGTAAGAAGGGAGGGGGGGATATAATGCCTACTTTTTTTTTTTTTTTACCCCCACCCCAAACACTCAATCCCTAACATTCACACACATCACTCTCACACACAGAACGCTCACACACATCACTCTCAGCACTCACACACATCACACACAGCACTTTCACACACAGCCCTATCACACATAGCACTCTCACACATAGCACTCTCACACACATCACACACAGCACTCTCACACATAGCACTCTCACACACATCACACACAGCACTCTCGCACATAGCACTCTCACACACATCACACACAGCACTCTCACACCCATCACACACAGCACTCTCATACCCATCACACACAGCACCCTTACACACAACACCCTCACACACATCATAAACAGCACCCTCACATACAGCCCCCACACATCACACACAGCACCCCTCAAACACAGCATCCATCACACACACATACTGCACCTTCACATACACACTACATCCCTCATAGACACCCACTGCACCCCTCAAATTAAATTTGCTTGCACTGTGCAGAACAAATACAGGGCTTTTTTTCTCATGCTAGAGCTCTTTAGCAGAGTTCTGCGCATGGTCTGCCCTGGAAGAGCATTGAACCAACATGCTCACATTGAGAGGGGGCGTGTTTGTCATTGGTGATGACGAAACACACCCTGTCTGCCCCGCCCCCTTCTTAGTGCACTGCTGTGATAAAAGAATGCCCGGGCCGAATTTTTCTCCCAGTCCGGCCCTGTCTGGAACCGTCATTGGGATGTCATTAACCAGACCAGAAACAAGAGTTCTGGGTTGACTCATGTCAGTTCTGTGAATATCGGACATCTGACGTCGGCAAACACAGCACCCTTTCGACAGGCGTCCAGTGGTGGCACAGTCCAGCACAGCAAGGGTTACTCTAACCAAAAAAGGGGCAGAGGTATTCTATAGTGTTGTGTATTCCTAACACTATAGTGTTCCTTTAAATGGACACTCCAGATACCTAAAGCACTTTAGCTTGCTGAAATGCTTTATATGTAAAGAGTGTGTCCTCTTTTGTCCATTTTATAGTAAAGTGCGGATTTCAATAAAAATTATCACTTTTATAAATTTACTTTATTACACCCCCTGGCTTTCGAGCAGAAAACATGTCCTGTTACTTCCTGGTTGTTTAACTCAGTGGAGCCAAACCCAAGAAACAGGTTATTGCCCAGAGCATCTGCCATGTAAAGACTTCTCATTATTCTTTGTGTGTTGTGCCATCTTGTGTATCTACCTTGACCCACTAGCCCAGGGGCTCTTCAAATATTGTGCACTACATCTCTCATAATTCTGTCAACTCATCATGAGATGTTGTCCACAACATGTGGAGCGCCAATGGAAGCCTACTGCTACACAAGTGCATTGTACTAGTGTTCAGCCTACTGTAGTGGTTAAAGTGCTTAGAGTACCCCTTTAAAATATATTTGAAAAAAAACTATACAGTTTTGTAAATGATACAGAGCTGGGTTTTGTATATCTTTAAAAAAAAAAAATGTGGATCATTGGTGCTTTTTATTCTATTACATGGTGACTGTACTTTTCTAAGATGCTAAATAAAAACAAAATTAAAGGGACACCATAGTCACCAAAACAGCTTTAGCTCAATGAAGCAGTTTTTGTGTATATATCACGCCTCTGAAGTTTCACTGCTCAATGCACTGCCATTCAGGTGTTAAATTACTTTTGTTTCTGTTGCATGAAAACAAAACGGGAACTTATTTTAAATGTTTTTATCTCCTGCTCTGTAAATTAAACTGTAATTACACACAGGAGGATCCTGCGGGGTCTAGCAAGCAATTAACAGAGCAGGAGATAAGGTATTCAAAATTAAATTAAATTTGCAATAAAGGAAGTGTACAAAACTGGTTTTATCCAATCATGCACGCAGTTGGTGGGACCTAATAAGTTAGGGACAGGGTACACTACAGTGTTAGGTTTGTATTCTCAACACTATAGTGTCCCTTTTTTACAATTTCAGCATTTTTTTTTTTTTTTTTAAATTTGATTTAGTAATTTTGCTCTCGTTTTCGTATCAGGACAGATAGTTTTGTTGTTTTGTTCGGACAATAACCCTTTTGTTAGCGTTTCACTTGGTGCCGAAATGTTTGCTGCAGTTTTCTATTCCTGTTCATGATGTGCAATAAAACATAAGAATAGGAAAAAAACTGAGAAAAAAAAGACATTTTAATTCCTTTAAACATGTTTCTCAAAAATATTATTAATGAATGTTGCAAATGGTATTTCAGACACCAGACTACTTGCTTAACAAGATGATAAAAATGGTATATAAATATGTCATTTTTGGAATAAAGAAGTAAAATCATGGAGATATAACTGCAGTTAAAGTTCGGTCCATTTAACTTCATATGAATAAATGTATATTTTCTAACAGCTTGTTTATAGCAATTCCCTTTTGTTCCCCTAGGTGGCAATATTACCCCACTCACAGGTTCAGTTTTGACATAAGCAGAAAATTGCAGAATACTTTTTTCTGCTTCATTCTCTTTTTAGGTGTTAGTAAATGTGAATCTTCTGAATTTGCCGATATATAAATAAGGTTTAAAAAAAAGTTTGAAAAACAAGCATATGCCACTTTCATGGCTAAATAAAGTTTTTTGTCTTTATAACTTCAATGTTCTTGTGCTGTTTTACAGTAGTTGCTGAGAACTGAAGCCCTAATTTCGTATTTGTGGATTATCTTTTCAAAAATGTAACATTTTGAAAAATGAAAAAATATATATTTGTATGATATATTGATATATTTTGTTATATATGACATTTCTTGATATTTTAATATTCTAAAAAATTCATTTTAAAAGCTTAGTAAAAAAAAACATTAAATCAAGGCCTAATGTTTAATTTAATATCATTAAAATCATTTTAGGCTTTTACAATATTTTTGACATTTTAGTATTTTCCAAAATACTAAAATTTCAAAAATATTGTAGGATTATTTTTTTATGTCATATATATAAAATGATATATATTAAAAAGATATCAAAATAGTAAAAAAAATCTAAATAGTTGAAAAGTTTATACGGACATGTTTAATCAAGGCTTTAATGAGAGTTTGGATAATAATATGATTGACATGCATTGTAGGCATGGGCCACAACTTCCAAAGTGTGTGGGAGTACATTAACAGTCTTATTTCAACCATTATAGATATTTCCTTGGATTCGTTGCATGTACGTAGATAATAACTAATACACAATTCACAAAAATATCAAAGTGTTTTGGGACCAATGTTTGCTTCATTTAAAATAGCTAAGCAGGTTTGAATTTCCAATTAAAGGGGAACCATCACTTTCCAGGACTTTAATTATTGTTTTTACTTATTCCCAATTTTAACAAATATTGGATTTGCGTGGTTTAAAAAATAAAATTCAAAGCAGAAATCCACATCAATGTAGTTATCTTCATCCTGGAACTAAGCCCCCTTAATTTAAGCTCTCCCTGTCAGTCAGTATTGATGAAGGAGAAGAAATTGAAACAATGTTGCAATGTGTGCCTTGCTGTGCCAGGACTGAACTGGATTGTGATGTCAGTTAAAGAATCTTTAATACACATTTAGTAGAAAATGGAGCACCACATGAAAATAAGGTTAAGACAAGTCATGGGTAATTTTCAACGTTTTATTCCATGGTGTAAATTCTAGAGAAGTGACAGTCCCCCTTTAATCGGCTATCCAGATTTGAAGTGACAGTCCCCCTTTAATCGGCTATCAAGATTTGAATATCGTGTAAAAGACTTAAATGTTTCAACAACCCAGCTACAATATTCTCAGTCTTATATATATAATTTTACAGGGTATTCACTAAAGTGAGATTTCAAAGTGAATTCAAGGTGAACTTCAAATTTAAGGTCAGGGTTGTTAAACTGAAAACACTACAGACTGAGAGGTTTTCCAAACTGGCTTTCTCGCTTTTGTGAATAACCCTGTTAATATTTGTAGTGACAATAACAATAACATCTGTAGTTCTGTTTTCTGCAAATCCAGTATGAAGATGAAAATAGACGTTGATTTAAATCCAATTTTGCTTTGGAAATCTAAAGTGCAGGAGATAGGGTACCCTGCAGGGGTGGTGTTAGTTTATGAAAACACTGCATTGTTGTTGGCCTGTGTGCATAATATACATTTTATTTTTTAATGAAATCTGCCTTTTACTGGTCACCCTGATAGTGTTATCCGCTCAACCACAAATTGTTGAAAATTAATTAGGAAGTTGCAGATTTTAGGTAAAAATGTACATTTTAGAAATAATTCCAGATCAGCTATTTTGAACTTAAATGGACACTTTAACCCCTTAAGGACCAAACTTCTGGAATAAAAGGGAATCATGACATGTCACACATGTCATTTGTCCTTAAGGGGTTAAACACCTAAAGCACTTTATCTTGCTGAAGTTAATCATGCGTAAAAAGTATGTCCTCTTTTTTTAATTTTAGAAAAACTGCAGATTTCAATAGAAATTGGTACTTTTATAAATTAACTTTGCTACACACCCTCTAGCTGTCAATCATATAACTGGTCCTGTTCCTTCCTGGTTAGGTTAACTCAGTGGAACTAAACTCAAGAGGCAACAATTGCTCAGAGCACCTGTCTTGCAAAACTCCTCATTGAGCTGCATTGGGAAGTCTGTGATTGGACAGCCACAGAAAGTCTGGGCGGAATTAAAAGGGGAGGGTTTGCAAAGGCTTCAGACAAGACGATTTGCAATCTGTTTTTACACAATAAAAAAAAATAAGTGACGTGATCTTAAAGTTTCAATTCCTTAGAGAATTCCAGAAAATTTACAGTTTAGAGAATTAACCTGTGAAAGTGATTTATTTGCTAAAGAGTAAAATATGGTGAATTGAAAAATAAATGTGCTATATTTTGGCTGAATGTAAACTGAGAATATAGTTTAGAGGTGAGGACTTGATTACTCAGTTATTTTGTCTTTAATTTTGCAATTGCAGTTTCTAAATCATCACAATTCACTGTTCACTGATAAAATATCATTAGAGACAAGTGACATAACATTCCCATAACTTTTTCATAATCTGTGATAAATGACATATTGACAGAGTTATTCAAAGTTAATTCAATGTGAATATCAAATTGAAGGTCAAAGAATCCAAACTGGAAACATTCTCTAAGTCTGCCATGCTTCCAGTTCTAAATTGTAAAATTCACTTTGAAATAACTGTGAATTGTCACTTTAGTGAAACATCTCTATGAGAGCTGGTTACAAGAAAATGAAATAGAACAGAGAGGGCATGGTAGGCATATTGACAGCAAAAGCATGTGCATAGCTAATTAAAAGGTATACGTGCTCAGTGATTCTATTTAACGTAAATACGGGCAAGTAAATGTTTCAATGAAGTATCCAAGTAATCAACTTAACCATACATTTTCCTGTATTTTCAACACATTTTCTACAAAATGCCTGTAGCAGCATTGGCCTCAACACCAATAATAACTGTATACATTTAAAGGGACACTATAGTCACCAAAACAATGTTAGCTCAATTAAGCAGTTTTGGTGTATAGATCATGTCCCTGCAGTCTTACTGCTCAATTCACTGCCATTTAGGAGTTAAATCAATTTGTTTATACAGCCCTAGCCATGCTGAAAATTCCTATATTACACATTCTGTATAATTTAGAATTTCTTATCTCCTGCTGTGTTAATAGTCTTCTAGACCCTGCAGTAGCCTGTGTGTTATTACAGTTTAATTTACAGAGAAAGAGATAAAAACTTCTAAAGCAAGTTAACCTCTAATTTAAAATGAAAAACATTTTTATAATGCAGGCTGTGTGAGTCACAGCCAGGGGAGGTGTGGCTAGGGCTGCATAAACAGAAACAAAAGTGATTTAGCTCTTAAATGGCAGACAATTGAGCAGCGAGACTGCAGTGGAATGATCTATACACTAAAACTGCTTCACTAACATTGCTTTTGGTGAGTATAGTATCCCTTTAAATGCAGCACTTTTAGTGCATTAAAGACAGGCATGCATGCATCCCAATATTTGCTAAGCACTGTAAGGGCTGGCAGAGCCAGAGGGCAGGTTCAAGCAACCTTCAACACTGCAACTGTTGTGAACCACGCATTTCGCTGCTCTCAGCTGTAACAGCAATGCAAAAGGTTGTCTGACATTTCTAAGGAGCCAGGATTCTGTGTTTGCATGCATATTACAAGGCACTTTTAATAAAACAAAAAAACCTTATCAATGAGAGAAAGAAGTGGTGCTATACAGACTTAGTGCAGTTACTGCCTATCAGATATTCATTCAATATTACTTTATACAACGGTGCTGGAAGATAGGCAGAACATAAAAAGTACTTTAAGTGTGGGATTTATTTATTGTGTATTTTTTTAAGTCTGACACATTCTCCTGCGAATGGAGCATACTATGATTTATTGGTTGTTGGTTTTTTTTTCTGTATGTGTGTTTGTACAGCTGTTTCTTCTCTCTTTTTTTCATCTTTTTCACCCTGTGGTTTTCTTTGGTTCCAGGGAACATTTTCACAGCCTCTTACTTCTTGTAGTTCCCAAACTGGATGGCCAAACGGTCGGTAACACAACGGAATGTGGCCGGCTGCACCTCCCAGTATGGAACTGGGTTGTTAAAAAGGCTGATTCCGTGGTAATAGGCACGCTTCACCCCAAAACCTATTGGGCAAAAATCATTCACGCCGACTTGGGTAATGTTGTTTGAGTGTAGGTAAACCACCTGATGTAGAAGAGAATGAAAAATTAAATAATTAAATAAACTGTTTGTGTAATTAAAGGATCACTTTAAGCCCTATAACCACTTTGCATTATTGCACTTTCGGTTCTGTGATTTGTAAAAAGGAATGCACCTAGAAGACAGCCTCCTCTCCCCAGCTATCAGTAAGGAAGTCAGAACTCTCAATTCCATTATATAAACTACTTATTCCATAAAATTCTAGTGAACAGTGGTTTATGGGCATAAGATCACACCCAGGCTAGCTACATACACTGAGTTATACACTCAGACACACCAACAATACAGAGCTCCTAGGAAAAAAAAGGGACGTAAGGATAGAAAAAAGGGACAGAGGGCTATCTGCCCAAACTAGGGACTATGTCTCTCCTAAATAAGGACACTTGGCAGGTATGGTGAAATTACATTTTGTGCATGGACCTATACATAGCATGATTTGCAAATCGCATTACATCACACTGTGATTAAGGACTAATTGATGGCATGTATATCCAATTTCACTGGAATTGTATATATCTATGCTGTTTTGTCTAGTTTAATGTAAACTGAATCTGTGTAGAAAATAAATATGCAAATCTCAAACATTCTATAAAGTACTTTGTCACAGGAGGTATTGATGATTCAACCATTTAGGATCTGCAAACCATGTCACTGGAAGGTGTTTATAGGACACTGGTGTATTTAAGTTATATTTTCCGTAAATGGTGTTACCTGCAGAAATTTCATATCCGGGAGTCCAGGGGGGACTCTGGAGAGCTTGTTGTTGTCCAAGTGGAGCTCTCTCAGAGAAGGCATGAAAGAAAGGCTGCCATTTTCTATCACTCGGATGTTATTGTGTCCCAGTCCCAACCTAGAGAGACCACCAACACACACATTTACAAAATAACCAAAAATGTAGCCATTGTAACAAAACAAGTCTCAATGCTTTTTGTAGACAAAAACATTTGAAAAGTTTATCCACAAATATTAAATCAACTAAAAAGATTATCCCAAAATATAAAAAATCGAGGCCTTTGTTAGGACCTGATACATAGTTTTAACAGACACTAAAACAGTAAATAAATAATTTATATATAAGACGAGTACATATTTATATGGTTTAGGAGCTATTATAGCTTTCCTCAACGTATTACCCTAGTACCAGTTATTCCATTTCCAAAGGTCTGTGGGTATTTACATGATAGTAATGCCCGACCTCTGCCCTTTACCCTGATGTGATTACAGTGCAATTGGCTTCAGAATGTTCTATATACTCCCTCTCTGATTATCACTTTGACGAAGAGCAGGTTCTCCTGCTCCCACCTGCCACTCAAACCTGTCTCTGTACCACTGGCTTAAAGATGTTCATGCTAAGAATTAACTGGTTTGTTAGGAGGGACCATATTTTTAGACAACAATCAAATCAAATCAATGCATTTGATAGCATAATGTATAAATTATATGTAATGTATTTTATTTTAAAGCTAATGTGTGTACCATGTCCTGGTTTCATTTTCTCAAAATAATTGCCAGTTTATGAATGTTCCAAATTACTCCATTGACCATGTCCCCACCACATTCCCCATCACTATAATTACCTCCTCTGCTTCAAGGCAAGAAGCTGTCTGTTACCACCATGTTAATTACTGAAACCTCATTTACCCAACAATCTTCTTGTCCACTGCCTTCTTGACTCTTAGCTCACTTACTTGCTGTTTACTAACTTCACTTGAGGCTATTCACAATCAATTTTGTAACCGTATCTCAAACTTTGATACTTTTCATGAATACTGAACCAGCCATAGTCCTCCCATCTTCAAGGACTTCCCACTGCCTCACTCCTGTCCCCTTAGATGAGGCGTTTGGATTCATCTTCTCATCTCTTCCTGTCTACACTAGGCCACATTATGATGGTGTTTCAAATGATCTGACTGGGGCATGTCGGTAGGCAGCTCTTGAGCAGTAGTTTCATTCATGTGTTTTCATAAAATACTGCTAACTGCTCAAGTACATTTCCCATAACCCCCTAGGGCAGGTATAGGCAACCTTCGGCACTCCAAATGTTCTGGACTACATCCCCCATAATGCTCTTAAACTCATAATGCTGACAAAGCATCATGTGAGGTGTAGTCCAAAACATCTGGAGTGCCGAAGGTTGCCTATACCTGCCCTAGGGAAGGATTCCACTTCTCAGTATCATATGTCCCAGTGCTAGGACTCTGGGAGAAATGAATGAAGGATGGGAGCAGGAAGACGTTCCAAAGAAGAGTTATACAAGTGAAGTATCATTTTTTACTGGTGACGAATGGCTACAGACCTGACCAAATAGGGAATGTTGAGATGAAATACATTCTTGTCGGTTAATCACCCGGGTCCGCACTTACTCTTAGAGCTGCCGATGTCGGCTCACTGACGATGGTCTTTCAGTGCCACATGCATTGGTGATACATTGTCGGGAAGCCAAAGTGAATTTGAAATTTAAGGCCAAAATAGATGAACAGGAAACATTCTCCAAGTTAGCTTTCCTACCAGATTGGCTACTTTGGCCTTTATTTTAAAATTCACTTTCAAAATCCCAACAATTCTCACTTTAGTGAATAAGTCTATAAAAGTAAGGCAGCAAAGAAAAAAAAACCTGAGCTATGTCCAAATTGTGACTGTCCCTCCGAATATGGATTTGATAGGGAGTTCTAGGTTAAGAACATTGGATGATGAATACTAGGACCGGCAGACAGAGCTGCAGTGCATTTCCTGGTAGTTTTATTGAATCATTTATTTACTTTACTTTTTTTTTATATATTACCTCAGTAATGTAACACAAAAGGGGCTTTGATCCAGCCTGCTGTGTCCCCTTAAGATACAAAGATTTTATTTTATTTTTTAAATAGATTGAAATTTGAATGAAACATGGTTTATCTGATGTACGATTTTCCTTCATATATATATATATATATATATATATATATATATATATATATATATATAACTTTATGCCGTGACCACATTTCTTATTCCAGAAATCACTAGTTTTGGAAATACGCAAGCTGTTTGCTGGGTCTGCCTGCTGTAATCTGAATATACATTGTTATAATGGGATCCAGAACAGTTTGGGATGGCAAGGGGCCTAGTCTTGGGTCTGCTTCCCAAACAGCTGCTATTTAAACCACATGAAGAGTTTACAGGAAGTCCATTAACCATTGAAGTGCTAGAGGCGGCATGAAATACAGTTAGTGAATATGTGCTTTAGACATGATTGTAACCATAAATGTTATATTTCAGGGCCTTCATTGTTGAATATAGGATATAAATGTTTATTGCAATACCGTCTTCTACTGCCTGTTTTGTTTGCTTTGGATTCTTAGAAAGAACCCGTTTAATTAAGCAGACTGACATAACGATTCCCAGAATGTGCCCATCAAAATATTCAGATTGGCGGACTGATCTGCAGAATGTGCCCAGACTGATTCCGATATCATACAAATTCTCTGGGTCTCGCCTCTCTTCCCAAACTACGTGTCAAACCAGGATAGTTGTGCCATTCATAACTCCTTCATCTTGCAGTAGTGCCATGTGGTGTTGGCAGCGTCCTCTGCGTAATTCTGGCTAGGGCTGGCGTCGTCAGCGACCCCAATGGACATCGTAGGGATACGTGCACCCAACAGAGCAGAAAATATAGAAGAGGTGGGCAGAATGATTGCGTGGGCAGGGGTCTGGCTTGACTGTGCTTTTGGATTCACTTTGTCTGTACCTTGCACCTCCCTGCACAGCTCAGATGGCAGTTCCAGCATAGTGAGTTCCACCACACCACACCCATACAAATAATTCCCAGCATTTCAAATGGACAAAGAGGGGCACTCAATTTAAGGGAGTGAGTGTTGGTGTGACATGTGGCTGGACTGTTGTGAGACATTTTAACTGACTTGCTGATAAAACAAAAAAATTACAAATTAAAATGTTATTTAGAACAAGAACAATGGATCCTATTTACACAGACTGATTTCTAAACATGTTTATTGTAGTTTAAAGACATTACTGAGAGTATTATTGCTGTGGAGCTCTGTTATACACTCAGACACACCAACAATACATAGTTCCTAGAAAAGAGAGAAGTTAGGATAGAGAAGAGGGACAGAGAGATTTGGGACCCAAATTGGGACTTCCCCTCCTAAATAGGGACACTTGGGATGTATGCAGACAAAAATAGGCAGACTGACAGAACCAGGTCACCCAACAGTAGGCATGTGCATGGGAAACATTTTCGGTTCGGTTCGGCATTCCGGAAATTCGATATTTTCGGAACTTTGGGACCTCGGCAATTCGGCTATTCGGACATTCGGAAGTACACGAATGTCTGAATTTCCCAAAATTAGTCCGAATTCATATTCGGCCCGAAACGAATAGCACATGTCTACCCAACAGTCTTAAAAAGTTGGACTGTCCTCTGTCCCACCTTCCCGCTTCGGTTCCCTGGTATCTTGCATCGGGGGACATTAGGGATCTGTACCTTGGCAATATATCGATCGCATATCATTATATGCACTCGCGCTGAGGAACAGACACTTAGGCTATGCAGGGAGTACTTCAGCAGCTCTCCCTGCATTGTCCTGAAGGTTGGGGACAGATTGGTCAGGCTGTCACTGAGTGGACCCCCCAATTGTGAAAACCCCTCGGGGCCTGGCCAATCTTTTTACGAACTGCAGTGCCGGTATGTTGGGAGTTATTCAGAATAATTCTCTGAACATACCCCTATATACAGGCAGACTGATTCCCAGGACATACCTGTACAGATTTGAGTATTGGATGAGATCTTCCAATTCGATGGCCTGGATTTTGTTATTATCGAGGTGCAGCTCGTTCATTGTGCTTGGAAGATCTGTCATTGGAACAAGACACAGTTAAGAAGCAAATATATAAAAATCCTACAGGGTTATTAGTGAATTTCAAATTTAAGGTCAGAGTAGCCAAACTGAGTAGCCAAACTTTAAGTCAAAATGGAAATAAATGTTTTCCATTGTCTGCCATTTTTTCTCTTTTTCCTGTGTGTTGAAACTCTAATAAAAACTGTATATCCAAAAAGAAAGTCACTTTAAATTCTAACATAAATACATCTGAAGCCCACTAGGGCAGGCATTGGCAACCTTCGGCACTCCAGATGTTTCAGACTACACCTCCCATGATGCTTTACCAGCATTATGGGTGTAAGAGCATAATGGGGGATGTAGCCAACAACATCTGTAGTGCCAAAGGTTGCCTATCCCTGCATTAGGGGTCGGCCCCATACATGACACGAGTAACAACTGTCTTTGTTTAAAATAACTCGTTTATTTAACACTAGCTAGGCTCCACAGAGTTCCTCACAGTATATAATTAAGGCATTGCATGATGTAAGTCTTTAAATACCAGGTTGTAATGGTAGTATTATTGGTTGTCATTGTCAATTAAGGAATATGTCTCTGTTTGGAGTATTTTAAATATTAGTATAACATGTATCTTCTCAAGATGGAACATATGTGTATACCATTTTAATATATATAACAATTACTTTACTTGAGTCCATAATTGAATAAACTAAATGTTCCAGTGGAACAATTATTAAATGTAAAAATGTTTCCATCGTTACCTTTCGGGACGCCAGTCAGTTTGGCCTCGGAGATACGCAGGTAGTTTAGTTTCAGCCCATCAAAAGCTCCAGGCTCGATACCTCCATTTTCCAGAGGATTACCTCCCATTTCTAGAGAAGATACAATATTACAATTGTTAATCTTGGATATTAATACAATTATATAGTGTAGAGCAACTTACTCAAACTACCAAATCGCTTCATAAAACCAAAATGCACATTTCTTAATTATTTAAATATCTTTCCTTAAAAAATATTTGCTCCTTAGATCAATAAAGCTTTAAAACTGCCCACAATTAATTTTATGTTTATTAAAGAAACACTATCGCATTAAGAAATACCCTATATTGCTAATGTTATAATGCCCCCACCCCATTTGCACTAAAAAGTATTGTGACAGACCACCTGGTCACCCAGCACTGGTACACGTCTCCCAACCACCACCTCCTTATAAAAATAACTATAATTACCATGTTTACCCCTCCAGTCCATGCCTCCTAGCCCAGCCCCCTTTTCCTGGGGTCCAGGAGTCAACACACAAACCTTCTGAAACTCCTGATCGGGTTGCTAACTTGCAATGATCTGGTAAATCTTTGCCAAGCGTATTCTCAGTCCCAGAGTCACCTATCAGAACACTATTTAGAATAGTGAGACAGGGGGTGGTGAGGCATCAAATTATACCAAGGACTTGAGGGAGCTCCAAATACCAACAAAAAACACCATCATTGTAGGTGACTGGGATTTTCTAGCACTGTGTAATTCGGCACCAGATCAGAGAATGATTGCGCTCCGGTCAAAACTTTACTTCCAGCTAACTCAAGCTAGACAGCTCGGATCTGAGCGATTTTTGGACAGCGTGGACACTCGTATCACTTGTTTGGGGATGTGGGCACAGGAACCCTGCTTTTAACATGATGATTTTGTAGGCACTGAGGTGTCTGGCTGATAATAGAATTACCTGGTCAGGCACAGACATCTGGGTGCCAGATGTTGTGCAGCGCCTATTGTTTTCCTGGTGACCCCCTGTTTGGATCCTAAGTATAAAAGAGTGCCATTTGTCCCCAATAAACCAGATCTTCTTCACCCTTCACTAAGTCTTGGGTGAAACAGCAATATGAGCTATAATCACTGAGCTATACTCAATACGGCTATAAACACTAGGGGAACAGGAGACCAGGGTGGCAACATCTTACCTTTTTCCCAGTTTTGTCACTATGATGCTGTGGTCAATTGACCAGTGCATCATTCTGTATCACATTAATTGTCAGTGACATTTAAAACGCAATTTTTTTTACAAATGTATAAGCTTGAAGGTGCAGGAGAGAATAACGCTGACAAATCCAGGACCAATGGGAGTTAATAAAAGTGATAATAGAAGTTCTAAAATATCCAGAATGGAATCATTACACATCTGTCTCATCTGCAGCTGATTTCTCCTTATTTAATAGATTCTGCAACGCTTGTTTGTAAAACCAGCGATTGGAAAGTTATCACATTTAAAGAGGATTTCCCGTATTTTACATAATCACATTTGGATCTCATTAAAGTCCCTGATATTTTAGTATCATTTTCTGTTTAACGGAGGTTTCCACTTACAGGATATTCCATATTATGGCTCTCGTATTCTTGGAACCAGCTTTGCTTTTTCTCCCATCCTTTGAATGTGTACTTTTCCAGAAATCTCTAATAAATCTATATGCAGGTTATGTCTGAAACCCATCTTGTTGCAATAAATTATACGTACCAATGGTAAGTCACTATGACATTGCTCCATCTGTTTTCTTTACTCTACTCTACATTTTTGTCTTGCTGTAAAGCATCTGGTTCAAAGTCCCAAGACACATAACCACCGTAGACATGAGACCTGGCCTGTATCACGTTTCTGGAACAGTTTTAAAATCCACAAAAAAAGATCTAGGCTTCCTGAAGGATCACTGGCCTATATTGGCGCTGTAGGGTTGCTCGAAGAGTGATGGAGTCTTGGTAGGTGGGATTGAAAAGAAGAGTGGACAGGAAAGGGTATGATAGGGTGGGAGTAATGTGTGTACAGTAACTCAAAACATCAAAACATCTACAGTGTTTCAGACAGAACATAAAGGCCTAGATTTAATATTTTTGGATAACCTTTTCAAAAGATTAATCTACAAAAAAAGTCCCAAATTTAAAAAGTTTATCCAAGATAATTACATTGTTTAAAAAGCTTATTAAAAATATTAAATCAAGGCCTAGATCTCTTAAGCACTGGTGGATTCAGAGGGAATGATATTGGGGTATGTGTTCTCTACGAGCCTTTTGGGGTAAAGACCGACGCTCCCTCGCTCAACTAAGGAAGGACACTTTACAATGTTTGCCAGTCATGTGGGACAAGCCTTCAAAATCAAACTTTCATTGCCGCTTGTGAATGGTGAAATGGGGATGAGTCCATTAACCCTCTGCACATTGCTTCTTTGCTTCCCCATTGGTGTAAAGGTAGGCTTAGTTTGCATGAGAAAGTAAATTACAATTTGGGGTATGAGCAGCATTGTATTTAGCGTGAGGCTGACAAGGCATTTGCCTTGGGCAGATTTTTCTGGGAGCGGCAAAAAAAGCTGCCCCCCAAATGCCCTGGCAGATGCCATGTCAGCCTCTTCTCTTGGGGGCCCAGGAGCTGGCTAGCTGGCCACCTTAGTACCCCGAGGCTGGCATCAACTCATGTATTAGTCGGGTGACGAGGGAGCACCACCTTGCATTGATGCCGGAGCCGGGATATGATGTCACTCCGGCCCTGGCATCACTAAGGCGCGCGAGGGAGCTGAGCTGGACAATCAGGGCTACCTCGCACGCCTGCATTGACCGCACGCTCAGCCACTCAGCCCAACAGCCCCGCTGGACCCAAGGAAAATAGAGACAACATGCCAGCACTCCCAAAGTTAGGGAGTACATGTCAATGAGTATATGTTAGTGTATGCATCAGTGAGGGTATGTGTCTGTCAGGCAAAGAGTGTGTTGTTTTTTAAAAGAAAAACAAAAATTAGATGGGTGGGACCGAGTTTTGTCATGCTTAGGGCAGCACAAAACCAAAATACACTGCTGGGTATGAGGGGTTAATTGCTAAGGAATGTGGGCATCAAATATAGTAAAGGAGGTGGTTAAATGCCTGGTGAATGCAATGATGTTATTTGAGTGATGTACAGTAATGTGTAGTGTGATGTACAGGGAGGGAAAAAAGTATTTGATCCCCTGCTGATTTTGAACATTTGCTCACTGACAAATAAATGATTAGTCTATCATTTTATTGATAGGTGTATTTTAACAGTGAGAGACAGAATAACAAAAAAATCCAGAAAAATACATGTCAAAAAAGTTATAAATTGATTTTCATGTCAATGAGTGAAATAAGTATATGACCCCTTTGACTTAGTACTTAGTGGCAAAACCCTTGTTGGCAATCACGGAGGTCAGACGTTTCTTGTAGTTGACCACTAGGTTTGCACACATCTCAGGAGAGATTTTGTCCCACTCTTCTTTGCATATCCTCCCCAAGTCATTAAGCTTTCGAGGCTGACATTTGGCAACACGAATTGTCAGCTCCCTCCACCGATTTTCTATGGGATTAAGGTCTGAAGACTGACTAGGCCACTCCAGAACCTTACTGTGCTTCTTCTTGAGCCACTCCTTTGTTGCCTTGGCTGTGTGTTTTGGGTCATTGTCATGCTGGAATACCCATACACAACCCATTTTCAATGCCCTGGCTGAGGGAAGAAGGTTCTCACCCAAGATTTGACAGTACATGGCCCCGTCCATCGTCACTTTAATGCAGTGCAGTTGTCCTGTCATCTTAGCAGAAAAACACCCCCAAAGCATAATGTTTCCATCTCCATGTTTCCTCCTTCTCTAGACACGGCAAGTTGAGTTGTTGCCAAAAAACTTGATTTTGGTTTCACCTGACCACAACACTTTCACACAGTTATCCTCTGAATCATTCAGATGTTTATTGTCAAACTTCAGATGGCCTGTACATGTGCTTTCTTGAGCAGGGGGACATTGCGGGCACTGCAGGATTTCAGTCCTTCACTGCGTAGTGTGTTACCAATTTTGTTTTTGGTGACTATGGTCCCAGCTGCCTTGAGATCATTAACAAGATCCTCCCGTGTAGTTCTGGGCTGATTCCTCACCATTCTCATGATCATTGAAACAAGGGAGACTGACAGTTATTTTGTGTTTCTTCTATTTGTGAATAATCCCACCAACTGTTGTCACCTTCTCACCAAGCTGCTTGGTGATGGTCTTGTAGCCCATTCCAGCCTTGTGTAGGTCTACAATCTTGTCCCTGACATCATTGGACAGCTCTTTGGTCTTGGCAATGGTGGACAGTTTGGAATCTAATTGATTGATTGCTTCTGTGGACAGGTGTCTTTTATACAGGTAACACGCTGAGATTAGGAGCACTCCCTTTAAGAGAGTGCTCCTAATCTCAGCTCGTTACCTGTATAAAAGACACCTGGGAGCCAGAAATCTTGCTGATTGATAGGGGATCAAATACTTATTGACATGCAAATCAATTTATAACTTTTTTGACATATGTTTTTCTGGATATATTTTTTTTATTATTCACTCACTGTTAAAAATCTTTCACTGTTAAAATACACCTACCATTAAAATTATAGACTGATCATTTCTTTGTCAGGGGACAAACGTTCAAAATCAGCAGGGGATCAAATACTTTTTTTGGAACATCTGTATTTTTTTTTATATCAAATAAACTGTATAGTATATATAACTGATATTGAGTTTATGAAGAAGGTTGAGAAATTATCTATATTCAAAATACTTAGCATTTAGACTTAATGAGCTACTCAATTTGAGGTCTGTGAGGCTAACACCACAGCAATCTAATATCTGCTAACTGTATAATCACACACATAAAACAAATGTCTGCTACTTCCCTGCTTTTCCTCCAAATACCACCCATGTATGACCTAAATCCACTCACATCAATGTCGTCTCATTATGCTTTTTCCGACACATGATATAGATGAATGAGTATATGGCATTTATTCATAAAACCTAGACCTTTACTCATAGGCATGCACACGGGGTGTGCCGAGTGTGCCTGGGCACACCCTAATCCTCGCGGCACGCCTATGTATATTGAGACCGGCAGGGGAGATCTCAGGATCTCCCTTGTCGGCTCATGCAGAGCCCACGCTATCTGAGTGACAGCTCTGCTCTAAGCCTCCATGGGCCGGTGGGGAGATCAAAGATCTACCTCATCGGCCAACAGCAGCATGGAGGGAGGCAGGAGAGGACCCGGGGAGCTCTAGCTAGCAGCTCCGCCGGGTTCCTCTTGCGAGACCTGAGCGTTGGCTAGAGTTCACTGTCCACTGGACCACCAGGGATGGCACATGGCAGTAAGGATCCCCCCTCCCTACATAAGGTAAGAAGGGAGGGGGGATATTTACTAATCTGCCCCACCTCCACCCACACAATCCCTCCAAACATACAGCACACACACACATACAGCACCCTCACACAGCACACAAACAACACCCACACACACACACAGCACCTACACAAATACAGCACCCTCACACACACAGCACCCTCACACACACACACACAGCACCCTCACACATACAGCACCCTCACACACACCACACAAACAGCACCCTCACACACACAGCACACAAACAGTGCCCCCACACACAGCACCCACTCACATACAGCACACAAACAGCACCTACACACATACAGCACTCTCACACACACAGTACACTAACAGCACCCTCACAAACACACACACACAGCACCCTTACACACACACAGCACCCTCACACACACAGCACACAAACAGCACACTCACACACACAGCACCTTCACACATACGCATCACACAAACAGCACCCTCACACACAGCACCCTCACACAGCACACTAACAGGACCCTAACAAACACAAACACCCTCACACACACAGCACACTACCAGCACCCTCACACACAGCAAACAAACAGTACCCTCATACACAAACAGCACCTTCACACACAGCACACTAACAGCACCCTCACAAACACACACAAACACCCTCGCCCACATAACACACTACCAGCACCCTCACACACACATCACACTAACAGCACCCTCACACACAGCACCCTTACACACACACACACACACACACCACCCTTACACACACAGCACCCTCACACCACTCTCACATGGCACACTAACAGCACACACACACAGCAGTGTATGTATGTGTGTGTGTGTATATATATATACATGCATAAATATACACGCGTGTGTTTGTGCTTTAGGGTGCACACCCTAATGCAATAGGCTGCACACGCCTATGCCTTTACTACAAAATTTGCACTCCTAAAAACAAAAATAAAGAGCAATATGAGCACATTTTGAGTGTGCTTATTAACTGCAGTGTTGTACGTACTGAAAGGGTTATTTTAAGCACCAACTTTCCATGGTGCCTGGAGTCTGTATGTGCAGAGTTTCACTTAAAAATGCTGCATGTGCAGAGTTTAACCCCTCTGTTGCTAGAGGTGTATCTCCACCTCCGGCAGTGTCATTGGGATCATGGTAACTTTTACTTTCAGCCAATGAATGGTGACAGCAGTGACTTCAGGCTTCTGTGGTTCTGCAGAAGCCAAAATAGTGTCACTGGACCAGGTAAGGGGGCAAACAGTTAAACAGCAGGCTGTAGATGGTTATGATGGTTGCTACCCATTCTGCATATATTGTGTGTTGATTAGCGCTGAATTCCTGCTGCATTCCTGATGTATTCGGTGTGTTACTCTAGTCTCGTTGATGTCTTGCCGAAAGGCTCCGTTTAGAAACTTCACCATAATCAAATTCAGCTTCCCCACAATTTAGAAATCATCAGATAAAATAAATGTACCCCTTTTGTAGGTCTCTAACTATAGACTTACCAATGCAGTTCATGTTTTTAAGTCCATTGAAGACCTCCTTAGAAACCTTCTTGATTTTATTTTCATGGATGCGCAGTTCCACCAGGGAGTTTGGCAAGTTCCGGGGTATCTCTTCCAGGTTGTTTTTTGAAATGTACAGCTTTTGCAGATTGTGCAGTGGCTCAAATGCCTTGTCGTTTATCTTGGAGATTTTGTTGTTTACTAAAACCAGGGCCTAATTTATGGTAGAAAACACAAAAACATAAAATTAAACAAGATATTATATATAATAATCCTCTAGGATTTATGTCATAATCAGTAAAGAATTATTTATTTATTTTTACCCTTTTGTTGAATAATTGACCGTCACCTCAAATTTGCCTTTGTTGCTTTCTTTTGGATCATGTAACAATGGCCTTGATTTAAAGGACCACTATAGTGCCAGGAAAACATACTCGTTTTCCTGGCACTATAGTGCCCTGAGGGTGCCCCCACCCTCAGGGTCTTCCTCCCGCCCGGCTCTGGAAGGGGGAAAGGGGTAAAAACTTACCTTTTTCCAGCGCTGGGCGGAGAGCTCTCCTCGTCCGATCCTCCCCGTCGGCTGAATGCGCACGCGCGGCAAGAGCTGCGCGCACATTCAGCTGGTCACATAGGAAAGCATTCATAATCACAGTGAGAAGCACGCAAGTGCCTCTAGCGGCTGTCAATGAGACAGCCGCTAGAAGAAATAGGGGAAGGCTTAACCCATTCATAAACATAGCAGTTTCTCTGAAACTGCTATGTTTATGAAAAAATGGGTTAACCCTAGCTGGACCAGGCACCCAGACCACCTCATTAAGCTGAAGTGGTCTGGGTACCTAGAGTGGTCCTTTAATAAGCTTTCCAAATGATTTAATGCAGTTGAGAAAGTTTTCAAGTGAATTATCTACAGAAGTCACCGGTGAAGTCTATAGGAATTTTTGTAGATCATTTGTAATTTTTTTTTACATTTTTGAATCAAAGCTTATTTATTCGAGACCTTTGTAAGTCACAGTCCTACGGACAGTGGTATTATTGAGAGCGGGAATGCTTCAGAATGTGAAGCAGAGCATTTGGAAAGTTGATCTTATTATTATTATTTTTTTAAAGTAAATAAAATTTTCAAGAAATAAGTAATTTAATAAATAAAACCACAACAAAAAACTGTAAATTATACAGATCTGATGAGAGTGCCAAGGGTATCTCAATAAAAATGTAGAGGGAAAGGTAACCACAAAAACAAGTCAACTCGATGACCTGAAGTTGTAGGATCATGAACGATGACAGGAAACATTTTTTTTTTTAAATATGAATTGTAAATCTGCAGACATTCATAAGGCGAGAAGTGAAAAAACATGGTATAGATGCACTGAAGTTCTAAGCTGGATACAAATATAGAGCAAAAATGGCTTCCATCAGCTTTTAAATCCACATCTCTAACTCCAAGCTGAATCCCCACTGAAGCCAATAAGTACAAGGTTTACTGAGTTAACACGGCATTCAAGAACAGGTGGAATTATGGGAAAATTAAGTTGATTTTGCACAGTGCCTAAAAACATTTTTTTTCAAAATGGCAGCCCACATTAGCCGGTTCAGTTGACAGAGGTCAAGTGGATTTACATACCTTTCTATTTGCCACTTGGCAAAATTATATATCTATATAAAAATAAAATATTGTAAAATGGTTAAAGACACATTGCTGTAAGTCTTATTGCTGTGGAGCTCTTTGAAACACTCAGAAACATAAGCAATATGAAGCGCCTAGTAAACAGTGACATTAGAACAGAAAAGAGGGAGAGAGAGATTTGGACCCAACATTGGGACTGTCCCTCCTAAATAGGGACACTTGGGATGTTAGTATTAATAGTGTTCAAAAGGATGACTATGCTATGAAATATCAAATATAGAAACAAGCCAATTCCTTTGTAAGCTAATACCTTGTCTCCATGGAATAACAAGGACTTTTACCCCATAATTTTATGAAAAACCTGCCCACGTTTAATGACAAAAAAATTAATAAAACGTCTAATGACTGCAAGTTGACTGCTGGCCTGGTGAGAAGGAGTACATAATCTAGGTAATCTGGAAGTAGTTGCCATGGTAATGGTGTTAATGTTTTTATTTAATATTCATACTCCTGTTTTTCTGGGAAATGTAGCTTTCCTAGCACATTTATACCAAATGACATGTCTGCACGGTCATGATATTAAGGGATTTGCCAATCCTCAGGTTGAAGGGGTTAAATAGAGTAAATTAAGCAGTTCTTACATATAATTTGCTAAGCCCCTTGAAATCATCTTTTTTAATTTCTGTAATTTTGTTGTTCTGCAAATCCAAAAGTGTGGTGTCCTTAGGAAGGTTCTTGGGAATGCTGGTAAGACCTAAACAAAAAAGAAACAATTGAATTAAAAAAGTTATGTTAACCCATAACTCTGCAACAAAGTTTTCCTCTTTAGGAAGCACCCAAATATCACTATTTTCAAGATTATGTCTGTGGACTGTGTATTTGTTGCTATCCAAATCCTGTTATTTGCAGATATACTCTAATAAGCGACTACCAGAGTTCCCATTTTATCAATCAGACCCAAATGGCCAATTAGGTGTTGGTTTAAAGACAGACAATTACAGCCTAGTTTTGGCATTGCAATTCTTTCATCATATGTTATTACGGTCAATTCCAAACACTAGTAGTCTGCGTAGTATCTGTGATCTGCTGATGACATCATTACTCATTGGTTATTTTAAAAAAAATACAGATAAGTCTTGACATCAGTAGTTATTAAATATGCATAAAAACACTCTAGTCTCACTCTTTACATAAAGGTCCACTAAAGACCTTTAATAAAGTGGTCTGGTTTCAGGAGCTCTTTCATTTTAATCCTGAGATGTAAAACATTGCCATTTTATAGAAATGGTGATGTTTCCATTGTGAGGTTAAACACACCCCAAGTGGCTGTTTTCCTGACAGCGGCTAGAGACGCTTCCACTTTGAGAACTTTAGTCAAAATTGGTTCTTAATCAAATGCTGGCCTTAGAGCAGCATTTGATTGGCGCAGCATGTCGATTTCCTGTGCATGCACATTAGCCGCCAGAAGCTTCACTGTGCATTGGACTGGGTGAAATTATCAAGAAAGCTGGACCGGCAGTGAGGAGAGCAGGATTACAAAGGCTAGAAGGTAAGTAAATTCAAATGTCCAACCAAAGAGCTCTCCAAGACATGGTTTTAACCTTTTTTTTTTTTTTTATCTTTATTGATTTTAGAGATAATTGTATTAGCTTTTTCAGTGGGGAACATTTAGAATGTTACAATGTTAATATAAGATATCAGACACAGGAAGGAGTTATTACATAACACAAATACAAGAACATATCTTTGTACTGTTGCACAAAGATAAAATATACATTTGTGACCACGCAACCATTTATATACATCGGGCCGTTAATTCCTTACCGAAAAGTGTTTTCTTTTAACTGGTCGTATGATTTTTAAGGAGATATTTGCAGCAAAGTGAATAAAGACATGTCCCCCAGGTTTTATAAAAGTTTGTTAACTAAACTAACGCAAACAATTTAATATCCTGCCTTCAAGAAAGATCTCGTATCTGCAGGACAATATGGGGGTTAATCACTAAACTCCAAATTGTAGTGAATTTAAATCCGAATGATAAAATTGAGGCAAACATTATTTATATTATCATATATAATTTATTATTATTATTATTATTATACTATATATTATGTACATATTTTACAGTATAGAGACGGACACATTGTCTCACCATTTAGTTCACAGACAACTGGGAAGAAGTAATCAATAGTGGGAAAAAGAGGGAGAACGGTAAAAAACAACTATTTATATATATTAAATATTGAATAAATATATAATATATCAATTATCAATGTATTTACTGCTGTCTGTATTGACCTCTAGCAGCTATTATTTGCATTACTAATGATTTGGGAGAAGAGCTGGAGAGACCCTGCGAGCGTGATTTACTGTACCCAGCTTATCTCCCAGCATATCACTAACAGGAGAGGGAAACGACGACCATTCACCCATAGTGCAATTTTGGATCTGCTATTTAGTAGTGTATACATGATAAAAATAGTTTGACAGCCGGCAAGAAGCTTTGTGCTTTAGATCATATTTATTGAAAATAATGGAACCTTGCCGGTTCACTTAGAGGGAGGAGAGAAGAGAGGATGAGCATAACTGTAATAATACTAATGGGATTATTTACTAAATCGAAAATTCTAAGTAAATTTCAAATGTTAGGCCGAAGTAGCCGAGCTGGATGCATAGGTAGCTTGGAGAATTTTTACAGTTCTGCTATTTTGGCCTTACTGTAACAAATAACTGTTTAAAACAAATGGAAAAACAACACAGTATGTTAATTTATCTTCACGCAAAAGTTGGGCCTCTTCATGTCCTTTGTTCTTGTGATCGGTTTGGGTATCAACAAAATATCTCCAGGCATAGACAGTCCAGCTACAGATGTTAAAGACTCTAAAGACCTACAGTAGCCTGTAGTATGTGATTTTTAAAATGCATTTTTTTTCCCGTGGAACTCATATAAATGCAAATTAGACTTGACTTACTTGGAATCCGCTAAGACAGGTCCTTTCATGCCAGATTTCTCGAAAAAATCGAGAGTACTCGGTCATTACTCATGACTGAAGATTACTCACAATCTTCAAGATAACTGGACATTTGGAACACAGAGTCCCATACTGACTTCTGGCTTTTGAAGGGCCTGGTACAGATTGTGAAGGGAGAATGAATCACTTAGTAAAGGATGAAAGAGGATCTGACTAGTTTATTGTATGGTATTTGTCTGTCCAAGCCAGACCACAAAAAAAAACTGCATTGCTGATAGGTAAGCTGTGGTAAAATGCAAGCCAATAGCAAACTAAACATAGTACACCTCTAAAGTATTTTCAAAATACATCACATAAACTGGCCAGATCCCGCTTAACTAGTAGCATAGGAAACACTTTTTCAACAGCAATGACTATATTTGAGTGAGACTGTGGCGGAACCTACTGCCATTTCCATCTGTTTTGCCCAATTTTAAGTGTTTTGCCTTTTTCTGTTAGGGAGTTATGGTATACAAACACCTTCCATTCGTCTCCCGAATGAGGACCACCCCTGTACCCCATTCGAACATTCACACCAGCAACTTAAGTCCAAAACCGCAAAGGAAGTAATTAATGAATGTTTCCCCTGGGTGGCCGCCATTTCGTATAACCGAATGCACATTTTCGACAAAGCAGTGGCGGCCATTTTGTCTTCTGAACGTGGGCAGTGGAACTTGGTCGTTGAGTTCCTGGAACTCTTTACAGCTAGGCACTCGAACGAGCCCTGGTAAAGATTAGACCGCTGCCTGTTCTACTTCCCGTGCAACTATGCGAGTATTTGTACCTTGAAATTAAGAGAATCCATTGCATGCAGTGGCGTCTCTAGGATTCATTTTTATGGGGGGCACATGGTGGGCCGGGGACAAAAGTAGGGGGCACATTTATCCCCGCCATTGCTACAGTTTGACCTCGCCCCTGCCGCATGTTATGCCCCGCCCCTGACACAATGTGTTTTTTTTTTTTTTAATAATCCCTGGTGGAGGATTCATTATTTTCCACCAGGGATAATTAAAAAACAAACACATTTCCCTTGATACAGTGCTATACTTGCCATTTGAAAAAAAATTCCAAGGACATTTTGCAGCACAGCTATCAATTACTGTCTGTGTATAATATACCTGGACAGTCAGTGTATAATACAGGGTTGTGTGTATAATAAATTGGGACAGTCAGCGCTCCCTGTACAGTGCTGCTCTCAGTATAATACATGGCTGTGTGTATAATACCCCGGGACAGTCCGTGCTCCCTGTATAGTGCTGCTCTCTGTATAATACAGGTCTATTTGTTATTATTATTATGATATTTATAGAGCGCCGTCAAATTCCGCAGCACTTTACAATGGGTGGACGAACGTTGTAACCAGACAAGTTGGACACACAGGAACAGAGTGGTTGAGGGCCCTGCTCAATGAGCTTACATGCTAGAGGGAGTGGGGCAAAATGACACAAAAAGGTAAGGATAGTATTAGACTAGTGACAGTTTGTGTATAATATCCCAAGACAGAGAGCAGCACTATACAGGGAACACTGATTGTCCCAGGATATTATACAGACACAGACCTGTATAATACAAAGAGCAGCACTATACAGGAAGCACTGACCATCCCGGGATATTATACACACACAGAACTGTATTATACAGAGAACAGCACTATAGTATTATCCAGATAGCTGAGCATATACCCCATGTCCCAATCTCTAGACTACTTGTACCAGTCAACAGCAGCTCCCAGACGCGTGTAACAGGGTAAAGTGTGCAGTAGCTCACACAGATGATTCAGCGGTAAAGCGCACTCGCTGGCAGAGCTGGGAATCCAAAGCACCCTGGAAAAAAATGTATGCCATTTCTAGAAGTCTATATATATATATATATATATATATATATTGTACAGTGAACACACAAGCTCACTGACATGCGCAAACAGGCTCAATTACAGACAAAAAACTCTCTGACACACACAAGCTTACTACAGACAAACTCACTTGTATAAACACAAGGCTCACTACAAAGAAGTTCAGGGACACACACAAGCTCACTAAAGACAAGCTCACTGACACACACATGCTCACTAAATAGAAGCTCACTGACACACACAAGCAGTACCATCTTAACAGTGTTAAGGGCCCCGGGCAAAGCAGTGCACTGGGGCCCTTCCTACACAACAACTCACAGGAATAAAATTTGTAATTATTGATAGACTGCTGAGTACATACACACAGTACACTGAATACAACACCAGAGACTGCTGAATACACACACAGATTTCTGAATGCACACAGACTCCTGAATGCACACAGGCATTGCTGAATGCACACAGGCTGATTTATACACTTACACACAGACTGCTGAGTCCATACACACACACTGCTGAGTCCATACACACACACACACACACAGACATACAGACTGAGTCCACACACACACTGAGTCCATACACACAGACTGCTGAGTCCATACACACACATACACACATACTGCTGAGTCCATACACACACATACAGACTGCTGAGTCCATACACACACACACTGCTGAGTCCATACACACACAGACTGCTGAGTCATACACACACAGAATGCTGAGTCCATACACACACACAGACTGCTGAGTCCATACACACACACAGACTGCTGAGTCCATACACACATGCACACACAGACTGCTGACACACACACACACACACACACACACACAGACTGCTGAGTCCACACACATACTGCTGAGTCCATACACACACACACACACACACACACAGACACACAGACTACCACACACACACACACACAGACTGCTGAGTCCATACACACACACACACACACAGCTGAGTCCATACACACACAGACTGCTAAATCCATACACACACACACAGACTGCTGAGTCCATACACAAACACACAGACTGCTGAGTCTATACACACACACACACACACAGACACACAGACTGCTGAGTCCATACACACACACACACACACACATACACACATACTGCTGAGTCCATACACACACACACACACACACACACACAGACTGCTGAGTCCATATACAGACACACAGACTGCTGAGTCCATACACACACACACAGACTGCTGAGTCCATACACACACAGACTGCTGAGTCTATACACACAAGCTTTCTCACTAGCAGACACACATACATATCAAGTCTACCTGTCACTGGAGGCTGTTGCTGGGGGTCAGACAGCCATCTTCTGGCCTTTCCAGCAGCCGCACGGTCTGCTGCTTAACGGTGGGGGCAGGTTCTTATGTGTGGGAGGTGGGGCTTTGTTTGGGGGCAGGGCCTGTGCCGGGGAGCCAGTCAGTGCTCCCTCCGGCCACAGACAGCACCCAGTGCTCCAGCTGCTCTGACCTGCATTCCCTCGGGTTGTCACAGACTGTTACAGTCTGAGGGAATATAATTTAAACACATGGACAGCAAGTTGCCGGCATTTGGGGGGCCCAAGGGGGAGGACAGCATGATGTAGGGGGGGGGGCATGCCCCCCACCCAGTGACGCCACTGATTGCATGGCGTTCGAACAGGAACCCCACAAAGTTATATCCAAATATAACATATCCAAATAACGATCTGGGTGGTATTTGGATATGTTATATTTGGATATAACTTTGTGGGGTTCCTGGTTATGGTGGGGGTACTTTTGGGGTACTGTATATTTTGTATAGATTTTTTGTACCTGAGAGATAATTGAATTATATGTTTTTCTCACGCAATTATCTCTCAGGCACAAAGGATCCTGGGAATGAAAAACTCTGTATTATTGTGTTATAGACCCCTTGTAGGGGACTGTGCATAAAAGTAGTGTGTGGCCTGAAATAAATCAGTTGACTCACAGAATTATGCTTCGTCTGGTTACTGGGGGAATGGATATCTGTATGATTTAATGGTTCCAGTCTGGCTGAGAGAAGGAATTTTTGGAGATAAGTCGGGTTACCCGGGGTCCTACAGAGACTTTTTGGACACTGTAAAAGTAACTCAATGTGGAACCTTCTGAACTTCAAGATCTACAGCTATTTATTAGGGATGTGCACGGGCAAAAAAATAGGTTCGGTTCGGAAATTCGGGTAAGTAAAAAAAATTAGCAAAAAATGGGTCGCAAGAGTATTCTGAGAACGGACAGCAGCTAAAATAGCCTGCCCTTCGGTGGGTCCCCGCTCAGAACTCAAGCTGGTTTTAGCTCATCTTGTGCCATTACAGAGAGAACATATCTGAAGCATATCAGACTGGTCCCACCCATACGGGCAGTCGAGATCCAAAATGCCAGCAAGTTCTCTCTGCACAAGAGATACAGCAACCCCAGACGATCGTTTCAGCCTTGTTAGGCATCATCAGTGAGGCATAGCTGATATCTCTCTAGGCACTGTGAGCAAGGGGTCCACGTCTGGATTACCCTTAAAACTAATGGAGAGCAAAAAATGGGTCGCAAGAGTATTCTGAGATCGGACAGGAGGTAAAATAGCCTGCCATTCGATGGGTCCCCGCTCAGAACTCAAGCTGGTTTTAGCTCATCTTGTGCCATTACAGAGAGAACATATCTGAAGCATATCAGACTTGTCCCACCCATACGGGCAGTCCAGATCCGAAATGCCAGCAAGTTCTCTCTGCACGAGAGATACAGCAAGTAAAAAAAATTAGTCTGCTTCGGCAATCCAGACCAATGGCATTCGGTTCGGTTTGGCACTTCCGAAATTCGGAACTTCGGCAATTCGGGACTTCAACAATTCTGAACTTTGGCAATTTGGAACTTCGCAATTCAGACATTCGTAAGCATCCCTTTATTGTTTTGCCACTTTTCAGAAAATCAAAGCACTCTGCCACCACAACCACTTACACATCTGTAGGGCTCCCTAACCCCTAACCACCACACCCACTTACACATCTATAGGGCTCCCAGCTTCCGGACTGCCACCACAACCACTTACACATCTGTAGGGCTCCCTAGCCCTAACCCTAACCACCACAACCACTTACACATCTGTAGGGCTCCCTAACCCCTAACCACCACAACCACTTACACATCTATAGGGCTCCCAGCTTCCGGACTGCCACCACAACCACTTACACATCTGTAGGGCTCCCTAGCCCTAACCCTAACCACCACAACCACTTACACATCTATAGGGCTCCCAGTGACTGGACTTCCACCAAAACCACTTACACATCTGTAGGACTCCCTAACACTGACCATCACAACCACCTACACATCTATAGTGCTCCCAGTGCTCGGACTGCCACCGCAACCACTTACACATCTATAGGGCTCCCAGTGCCAGGAATTAGCTTATTGGTCAAGATTCCTGTCATCATTTATGTAATTTTCCCTCCCTCTCTTGTTTTGCCACTTTTCAGAAATCCAAAGCACTTTGGAAATTCGTCAATTCGCACTTCGGACATTCGTAAGCATCCAAATGTCTGAATTGCATGAAATTTGTCCAAATGTACATTTGGAACGAAACAAATTGCACATGTCTACTATTAATGTCCTGCCATAGTGTATTTTCTAACTAAATGAGTAGGAACATTCACTGGATTGGCCTTAGAAGAACACTAAGCAGACCGGACCAGTAGACTTCAGATGTTGTTGAAAAATCCAGATGAGTACTTAATCAATTAGTGACAGATCTGTCTTCACATTTTCTGCGGAGATTTGGATAGGGACTTGCTCTACCCTTTGAAATGGATTAGCACTAAGTAGGAACTAGCCTCACTTTGATATCTAACACTGATGTGGTTTGATGACAATTTGATTTCTTACCCAAAAACTGTGCATTATTTTTGGGGCTGATGCTTATTTCATAAGATGAGAATGGTGGTCACGGTGTCCCGCAATGTGGTTTTCCCACCAGCTGCTTGTCCCACCAGCTTAATATTTCTGTTTTTCAAAAGGAGCAACATTCAATTACGGAGCAAAATATTGCTTAGATAATAGTACTTTGACTAGTCAGGGCCATCACATGTCATGCATAGATATGAAAATTCGAGAAGATCAAATAATAAGATCGAAAACAAAACCGTAAGTTCCCTATCCTTAATTGCAGGGAAAGAAATGAATCATCGACCCTAAAAATAAATAAATATTATCACAGCTTGTGTATATCTTGGCTGTGTCTGCAGCTTTTTATTATTTACCAAAGCTTGAAGAACTGTCTATTGGCAAATCTCAAAGGAAGCCTCTTGTTAGAAGGAAGACTCTTGACCCCTGTTCTGATTTCAGAAACAGTTTGATGGAAACACTATCAGGCGCTATACCCCGTAGGAAAACTACTGTACTACAAAAACATTCTGCAGGTGCAGACGATTAAAACATGATTTATTTAACTCATTAAGGACTAATGGCTCTCTGTAGCATCTTAACAATCTGGTCTTCAAAATCCTGTATGGTTGTATGGGCAGAGGATGCATACGTACCTCTGTGATGTATTTAAGTACGTTAAAGGAACACTATAGCATTAGGAATACAAATCTGTATCCCTAATGCTATAGGGTCACTGTCCCCACTTAGTGCCCTCTAGTCCCCCCTTCCTTTGCACCCTTTCCTCCCCTCCTCCATCCACCCCCGCCCCCCCGGCATGTAAATAGGTAAAAACGCTTTATTTACTTACCTGATTTTCCCTTAGTGCTGGGTTGGTGCTCTGTCTCCTCCGATGTCAGGGTGGCATCCATTGCACGTTGAGGGGACGTCTATTGCACATGGGTGGTAAGCACTGTGAGCTTATTAGGCCCTGCAAAGCATTCGTATGTGGATTTTACTGATGCTGGATGTCCTCATGCAGAGCGTGAGGACGTCCAGCGTCATTTATGTGACCTAGAGTCCATTAACATCCAGGAAGCGCCTCTAGTGGCTGTTTGATAGACAGCCACTAGATGCTGTCCTTGTCCTGCAATGTAACTATTGCAGACAGTTTCTTCTAAAACTACAATGTTCTACATTGCAGGACTAAGGGGGAACAGGGACACTCCAACCATACAAATTCAATGCTGAGGTGGTCTTAGTGCCAATAGTGTCCTTTTAATGGGCACAAGGTAGAAGCAGATTATGCAAGTCTCGGCAATAGCAATACTAGTAATAAAAGCAGGGGGCGTCCTTGCACCATAATACATGTAAGGACCACAAAACTGTTTTGATACTTGGAGAAATTATGGACATTTGTTTTTCATTAAAAATCACTGTTTAGTGAATAACAATGTTTACTTTATCATACAATTGTTCGTTTCACTTTGGAACTTTTTTTGTGATTCCAGCTTTCTTACATAATTCTATGCTTTTATTCCACACAATGTGAATTAGATTTGTTTATTTTTGTAGAGAATGTTAACGTTTCTAAAATCCATTCAGACATTCTATATACGCCGTTAAGCACAAATTTAAAAAATTAGACTTTTGGGCATCTGTTTAACATTAGTAATGGCATGCTTATTTACATAACATCTCTCTAATATCAATTCTTTTTTTACCATTTAAAGGGACAATGAATCTTTTTCCTAAATTCTGTTATCAATTAAGAAGATTCCATTAGAACTCATTCTTCCCAACCTCGCTTGTACTTCACAGATTTGGCTAATGATGAAGGACGGAAAAGAAGATTGGAGAGGCTATTTACTAATGTGTGAAGTGAAGAGTATTCAAAGGGAATTTAACTTTTTAAGACACCGTAGCCAAAGGTATAAACCTCTAATACAGCTATATTTTTTAGCTATGCTGTTCCGAGCTATAATCTGAATTCTCAGCAATTTTACTTTAGTGAATAATCGTGTCAGCATGTGTGAATGTGTGCAAATGTCAGTAAGCTGATGTACGACCCTATCGATACTGTGTTTACTCTGCTGTTTGCTGCATGGGTCAGAGGTTTCCAATTAACCGACTCATTAAATATTCTGTCCTCCACTGCAGAGTTCACTGTCCCTGGGTAGTCAGTCCCCTTGGTGCTTATAGTGCTCATATGTACTTAATTTAAAGGAAAACTTCAAGCACCATACCACAACAGCATACTGTAATTGTTATGGTGGCAGCAGTGCCCTGGCATCCCCTCAATATAAGTAGTTTATATTGTTAGCTCAGCAGTGGAGTGGTCGCCTGATGGACCACAGGTAAGAAGTCAAACTGTTCTAAAACGGTCTGACTATTTAAATTGTGTGCTGCAGTGGTTATGGTGCTTTGAGTGTTCCTTTAAGTGCCAAGAGGATGGAAAGGTAAACTGACTACATATAATAAACACATTCAATATCTTCTCTATATGACTATTAAGCTCAGGAGATCAGGGGCATGTAGCACCATACCCCAACTAAAACTTAACTGGACGGGTTTCAGGAGTTGGGTGCAAACAGTTGCTCTTTTTTAGGACATGTTATGCTGTCAATTAGAGTGGGTCCCACTAAGTGACTTTGCCACTGATTTTACTTTAGTAAGACTTCAAAGAATATAACATCTAAATGAAGTTGTTATGGTGCCAGGAGGCCCGAAGGCGCACTCTTAACTTAAGGGGTACCGTTTAATGGAGTACAGTATTTTAGTCCTGAATTCAGGACCTGGCACCTGTGATGTATTGTACATAGAATATTTTTGCAAAACTTTTTCAGTATCACATCAAATGCTATACATCCTCCCCACCCTCACTCCATCTCCGTCATTTCCTTGCAGGGGCAGCCAACCTTCAGCACTCCAGATATTTTGGACTTCATCTCCCATAATGCTCTTGCAGCCATACAGCTGGCAAGGTATCATAGGAGATGTAGTCCGCAACATCTGGAGTCCCGAAGATTGCCTACCACTGCACCTAGTGTATGGATTCTCAACTTCCTTCTATCTCCAGGTCCAGACCCACAACTTGACTCCCCTTAACGAAATTAAACATTTCCAACATTTGGCTATCTCTAAAACTGTGTTTGAATGGTTTGACACATATCAGGTCCCTGTATCCCAGATGTTTGCTCAGCTTCAGACATAGCTAAAGCAGATGTTCTCCATCCGCACTAAAAGACAGCCACTAGATGCAGTCTTAACCCCACAATGTAAAAATGGCAGTTTCTCTAAAACAGCAATGTTTGCAGCTGCAGGTTTAAGGGGACAGGAACAGTGCACCCAGACCACTATATTAAATGGTCTGGGTGCCTATAAGGTCTCTTTTATAAAACATAGTGTAAAACCCACCAACCAGGTATAAATACCTCTCTAAGAAGGCTGCTCCATGAATCTAAAAACATTGCGTCCTTCTCCTAAACATATATTTATTTTTTCAACTTAAAGGGACACTATAGGCATCCAGACCACTCGAGCTCTTTGAAGTGATCTGGGTGCAGTGTCCCAGGTCCGTTAACCCTGAGCTAAACTGCAATAATTACCTGCTAGTGTTAGCTCCTCCTCTAGTGGCTGTCTACTCGAACTATTTCCTTAAGGGTCCTAGAATCGGGGGGATCGGGGACTATTGTCTAACAGCAGAATGCTAAAACATATTTGTAACATTATTTGTTTATGATTTTTTTTTCGCGTTCTTGCATTATTAGTATAAAACATTTATAATGGAATTAAAAAAGTTAGTAGAGATTGGGCCATTTGTTTACAGTTGTCCCCCAGGTCAAAGCCAGCCATCCTCTGATCTGTATGTTCACGCATTCAACTGATGCAACACCCAAAAATACAGATAATAGATTTATGCAAGGCATAGTTTTTGTTTTGTCCTTACGTATTCGTCCCAAAAAATTTTGGCCGAACGTATTCGTCAATAGTTTGTGTGATCTTTTTCTCAAAAAAGATTCAGACACACCAACATGGTAAAAAAAATATATTTTTCAGTGCACCATTTGGCTAACAGATTGAGTGTGAATAAGTGACCAATAAAGGGGTAAAAAAGCAATCGAAAATATATATTTATAAAATATTTATTTTTAAATTATTAATTTAAAAATATAATTGTTTTTACTCTTCCTCCTTTTTTTAGTTACTTCCCAGTTAATTTGCGAATAAAAAAATAAAAGATTAAAAAAGATGATCGCTATTTTCCAATCAATCTTTCATTCGATTTTATTGTCTTTGTCACCACGAACGCCACTCTGAATAATGTAACAAACAAAACGTCTCGTTCATTCCTTGTTTTCTTTGTTTCGTGATCCAAAATTACAGTATTTGGACGACTTGCCAATCGCCCAAATGATGGCGACTCGTGAATCATTTGGAATCGAACGGTCAAGTCTAACAGCCTTTTAGACTTAGTAAAGCTCATTGTCACAGAAATGTTGAAGGGATAACTGTAGTGCCATACAAAGCTGTATTCCTGGCACTACCGATCCTTTTACCTCCCCCCTTCCTCATACTCCCCCTCCCCGGTAAATAAAGGGTTAAAAACCCTTCATTTACTTATAAATTTATTACATTGCAGCACTCGGTTCAAAAGGAACACAGCACCCAGACCACTTCAATAAGCAGAAGTTGTCTGGGTGCCTACAGTGTTCCTATAATAGTAGTCACAAGAATCACAAGTCGTTTCCTTTAGAAAAACAATATTTTTCACAAAAAATAATGGACATAAATCTAGATTAAATTTGGTTTCAAACATTCTTTAAAATGGATTGAGCGATTCTTTCATTATTTGTCAGGGATATACAACTGTCAAGCAAATGAGCATGTTTACAAAGCGTGTATCTCTTTCCTATTCTTCAATGTTTGATATAATCGTTAAGGGGCCTGTAGGACAGGAAGGGTTTTTTTTCTTTTTGTAAAATCTTTGCATTTTAACATTCCAACCTTTTACCAGCCATTCATAAGAATCATAAACATTCCAATGGCATAAATCATTGCGTGCTTCCCATTTAAGAGTGAGGTAAGATGCTTTTACTAATGGGACCCCAGGCACGTTCCTGTATTTCCAAACTTTTCAGGTAGAAAATAGATAAAACCAGGCAAATCTTTTTTTTTTCTTTTTTTTTGAAAACCTTGTTAGTCTTAGACAGCTGCTTTCTATAGTATGACTTGAATATAAATATTTTAGTGTAGTTAGGGTATGAGAACATACTTATGGACGGCTGCTTCACCCTTCCGCAAATGGAAATAACGCTCTAAGAGTAAATCAGGCATTATTATCATTTGTGCAGTGCAATTATCTGACATATTTATTTTTCCAATCCCTGAAAATATTCTCCATAAACTTTAGGCAAGTTAAAGGAAAGCATAGTGGATGGAAAGGGGTTGAAACCTCATGGAAAAATGGAACAATACATAGGGTTATTTTCTGAAGTGAGAATTCAAAATTAATTTCAAATTTAAGGCCAAAGTAGCATTGGAAGCATTTCCGAATTAGATAATATTTCCTCTTTGGCTGTTTTGACTTTAAAGGAACACTATAGGGTCAGGAAAACAAACATGTATTCCTGATCCTACAGTGTTAAAACCAACATTTAGCCCCCCCGGCCACGCCTTCCCCTTGCCCAACTAAATAAAGTTAAATCTTACTTTTGTTTACGTCTGCAGTTCCTGGCTCTGCCCTTGATCTGCCTGCTTGTCTGACATCATAAGAAGTTTTTTTACAAGCCAATCACAATGCTTCTCCATAGGATTGGCTGAGACTGTCAAGGAGGCAGATCAGGGGCAGAGCCAGCACAAGGCAAACACAGCCCTGGCCAACCAGCATCTCCTCACAGAGATGTATTGAATCAATGCATCTCTATGAGGAAAGTTCAGTGTCTCCATACAGAGGGTGGAGACACTGAATGGCAGTCACACTGTGCAGCACTGTCCCAGGAAGCACCTCTAGCAGCCATCTGAAGAGTCGACAGCAGTGGTGTATTTTGAATTTGTGCTGCCCTAGGCATAACAAAACTCGGTCCCCCATTCTCCCCATTCATGTCAAGGCCGCACTTCTTGCTTTAAGATTTACATGCACTTTCACTGACAGACATACACTGACACAGCCACTCACTGACATGCACACACTCTCAGATATACATACGGTGACATACATTCACTGACAGACACACACACATTCACTGACGGACACACTCTGACAGATACTAACAGACACATTCATTGACAGACTTAAACTGACAGACACACACACATTCACTGACAGACACACACTGACAGACACACACATTCACTGACGGACACACTCTGACAGACACACACACATTCACCGACGGACACAGTCTGACAGACACACACACATTCACTGACGGACACATTCTGACAGACACACGCATGCTATCAGACACATTCACTGACAGACGTACACTGACAGACACACACTCACAGACACACACACACACATTTACTAATATACACATTCACTGACAAACGTACACTGACAGACACACATTCCCTAACAGACGCACACACACACACACACACACATTCACTGAGGCAAACCTTGATACTGACACACTCACACACATTGTCTAACATTGTCTATTATTTATTTTAATATAAATCCACCCAGCCTTCCTACCTTTGGGAGAGCTGGAGTGGATTCCTCCCTGGAGTCCAATGGGGCTGATGTCCCTGGGGTCCAATGGGACTTCTGCTGGCTGGGCTGGTTCCTGTGCTGCTGACTGGGCTGGGTCCATTGCTGCTGGGCGGGAGCTGTAATCCTCCTGCTCAGCTCCCTCGCGCACTGTTTAGTAATGCCAGGAGCCAGAGTGATGTCATATTCCGGCACTAATATCACTGCGGTGTGCGCGAGGGAGCTGAGCATGGAGAGCTCAGGGGACAGTGCTTCCTCGCCTCCTGCCTGTATAGTAAGCAGCTGCCTGCTTCAGGGGCCCTGAGGTGTCCAGCCGGGCCCCTGAAAGTGCCGCCCAATGCATATGCCTTGTTAGCCTCACTCTATATACAGCGCTGGTGGCCAGTGCAGGTATCACTAGGCTCTAATGTAAACACTGCATATTCTCTGAAAAGACCATGTTTACTGCAAAAAGCCTGAAGCCTGAATGATTCTACTCACCAGAACAAATTCAATAAGCTGTAATTGTTACTGGTGACTATTGTGTCCCTTTAAATTTAAAATTCACGTTGATTTCTCACTTTAGTGAATAATCCTGACAATTTATATATCAAAACAAGAACTAAACTCCACATCCCCTACCAGACACTAAGAGATGAATGCTCATATTTAGAGGGTTAGGGTTAAATTCGTCAGGGTTAAATTCGATCTATTTATTAATCTATTTGAAAATTCTTATCAAAAGGAATAGATTAACACTAGTTTAATGCAGGTTGTAACTCATAACTAGACTTGTGCTCAATGATAAAAATTGGCTCGGCCAAATCACTTTTTTGTAAAAATAGAATTTTTTTCACAATGGCCAAATTTCGGCCATTCGTTAGTTCAGCTCTGCACAATTTCAGTGATGTAAAAACTGATTTGGGAAATGAAGCAGAAGAACCAAAATACTGTAAAAACGGGCAAGTCAGGGTTCTCCAAAATATATATTTAATATAAATGTTACAAAGCTATTTTCCAGAGCACTAATAAGAATATTTTCCTGCCATTTGACTCACAGATCATGTGATAACAAGTAAACAAAACAGGAGCAGTAAAAAATCTACATTTTTATATTTATTTATTATATATTTATTAAACATGCAATATATAAATACAGATTTTCTTTTACTGCTTCTGTATTTGCCACTTCTCATTTCTATGATCTGTGAATAAAATCAACGTTTAGTGACTGACTCCCTAGCCATTGATCATCTGTTCTTCGATCGATCATCTCTATTTTGGCAACACGGGCAGAATTCATAATGACAAATTAAAAAGATTATGCTTCAACTATGCACATTTTTTGTTTAAGAACTTTCTCAGCCGCTCGTAAAATACAATTATAAGAAAACATTTGCAAGCAACCTTTTAGTTTCCGAAGTAAATCAATATTAACTCACCCAGATCGGAGCACTGCACAACACGCAAATGGCAATGACAACCAAACGGGCATAAGTCTAGAGTAGGACCGTCGGAGCCAGGGGTTGGAGTAGGTGCTATTCCTGATCCCTCATCTTGCATCATACTAAATCCATCATCCATGGAAAAATCCCAGAATCCTCTCTGCTCAAAAGGCAGGGCTTTACAGAAGATCACGTAGGAGCATAGAAAAAGGAAGACCTTCATTTTTGGAGAAGAAACCTTGAAGAGAAAAAAAGAAACATTAATAAAGCTACAGATTAAAAAATTAAAAGCAACCTTTTAGCCTCATGATTAGTAAAACCTTTTATGTATTATATGGACGCTACATTAAAACATTGTTCATATTAGAACATTTTCTCTTACTATGTTAACATTATCATAATTCTAACTCTGTGATACATATCTAGTAACACATCAGCAATGTTCTATGTTGAAGCACCATTCATAAGCAAAAGTCTGACACAAAGGATTCTGGGAGGTTCAAACTTCTTTTGCACTATCTACTAAACTAACTTGTAAACATAGCTTAACAGTTAGATTTGAAATAGCAAGTTGGGTATGTAACTGTTTGGAACATGGACAATTTAAATATTAGCAATTTTTACAGGAAATATTTTAGGTCTTTGCTATATAATGTTCTCTACTATTTGGTGATCCTTTTAACATGACCAGTTGACAGTATTAATAGACACAACAGTTTTACACAGCGTTGCAGATAACATGTTAATATATACGCTAACTATGGTCCATAGGCTCTAGTCCTTTAAGCTTTGTAGACACCTTTGGCTACAGAAACAATATCCTAGAGTCTGGATGGTTCTACTGTTGCTTCTCAGAACAGTTGTTCTTCGTCTCCTTAACTTACTCTCCCTTGATATCTTTTTATCTTTTAATTTGTTTCGTCTTTTTTATTTTAGCGGTACAGTTGACCTACTTTTTTATTATGCTTCAAAATGTGGGATCTATTTTTGCTTCATTTAGTCATTACTATAAGTATGTATGTCTATATTCATGCATTTTATAAATAAAGAATTGCGAAGGAAGATTAACAGTCGCAGAGATATTTCCTTTGCTTTCCAAAAGAAAGCATAGACTCTGTAATTTGCTATTTGATTCATATTTAGAACACAGTGAAGTCAATAAAGGGAAAGACATTGACTCTATGGAGAAAACTGCTTGTAAAAATAAGGCCTAGTAAATAAGAATTAAAGGAACACTACAGACATGTATTCCTGACACGTGGTGTTAAAACCACAATTTAGCCCCCCTGGCATCTCTAAATGTAATCAAATCTTACTTTTCTTCAAGTCTGCAGCTGCTGGCTCTGCCCCTGATCTGCCAGCTTGTCTGACATCATTGATTCTCTGAGCCAATCACAATGCTTTCCTATAGGATTGGCACAGACTGTCAAGGAGGCAGTTCAGAGGCAGAGCCAAAAGAAGCCAAATGCAGCCCTAGCCCTGGCCAACCAGCATCTCCTCATAGAAATACATTGAATCAATGCATTTCTATAGGGAAAGTTCAGTGTCTTCATGCAGAGGGTGGAGACACTCAATGTTAGTGCTGTTCACTGTGCAGCACTGCCCCAAGAAGCACCTCTAGCAGTCATATGAGGAGTGGCTAGTGAAGTTATTCCTAAATTGCAATGTAAACACTGCATTTTCTCTGAAAAGACAATGTTTACTGCAAAAAGCCTGAAGGGAGTGATTCTACTCACCAGAACAAATACAATAAGCTGTAGTTGTTCTGGTGACTATAGTGTCCCTTTAACAGATATCAAAACCTTTGAGGAAAATTTAAAATAAAATCACTAAATCTCATACAAACATTAAAAAGTACAAATATGTGATTATATTAAAAATCTATTTAATAGATCTTTGTGGAATGATTCTTAAAAATTATTATGCAATTCTTTATAAAAAGTAGAAAACCTTAGGTGGAAAAGCTTGTCATACCAAGAGACATTGTTGATAAGATCATTAACAATTTTCCACAATGATGACAATTTTGTACATGCCCACCAGATATGTGTCATTGTACATGCTTGACATCACCGAGAATTTTGTGAGTGGGAGATGGATATATGAACTCTCTGTGAGAAAATGCAAGCTGAGAACACTATCATTTATCTCCAATATATTTAAGAAAATTAACCACAAAATATGTACATGAATAAAGTGTTGTAATGCGTTTATTTAAATTATAATAATTAATAATTTTAATAAAATAACACGTTAAAGAGAAAAGGTTTGAAAAGATATTCAAATGCTTCTAATTTGGCGAAGTAATTAAGAAAAAAAAAAACGGAAATAGCTTAGCTGAGTCCAAGTAATGTGTGTGTGTAACTGTCGAAAACAAATAGTGTACTTGTTGTGACCCCACCGTCACAACCAAAAGCCATCTGACCTGTCATGACCTGGAAGTGAAGATGTGCACCCAAAATGTGTTTGTTTTTAGTCCGACATGTTTGTGCTTGTACAATTACCCTTTCTGCCCTGCTTTACAGTTGAATTGACAGCTACCACAATATAACAAAAGGTAATTATGGCAATGTTATGTATGGTAATGATAACTATTACCATTGCAACAAAAAAAACAACAAATGCTATCAATGACAATAGAAAAAATAGTTATGCTAAATAAAGCTTTAAAAAAAAATTACAAAAGGGAAACTATTTTCTCAATTTTTCCTTTTAACATATTTTTCCATTTATAATGACAGTTATGACAGTTATGCTTATACAATAATTGAGCACAATTTCAAGGTGTGAATATTCCCATAAAAGGTATTAAATTTGCCTTTTTGTTTAATTACTTTGGAAATATAAGCATTTTATAGCAAACATACAGCAGTCATTAGTTATCCCAGTCAGTGCATTTTGTTTTTTCTGACCATGACGGGGATTTCAAATGTATTGTGATTTAGTGAGTAAAACTTCTGTTTCATATTCTATCACTTCTACCCTTCTCTGCTCTCACTAAAATTGCATAACCATTACATATAGTTGTACAATATATACATATATATAGCATGTAAGCTCGTTGAGCAGAGCCCTCAACCCCTCTGTTCCTGTGCGTCCAACTTGTCTGGTTACAATTACGTGTCTGTTAGTCCACCCACTGTGCAGCGCTAGGGAATTTGCTGGCGATATATATATAATAAAATAATAATACAATTAGAGAAGGGTGAATAGCTAAATTATCAGGGTTATTTACTAAAGTAAAAATTCAAGTTGAAATCACATTACATTTCAAATCTAATCTCAAAATACTTAAACTGGAAATACTCTCTAACTCAGGTATGCTTTCAATTCAGCAACTCTGACTTAAATTTGAAATTCACTTTGAATTCTAACTTTATTGAATAACCCTTTAAGTGTAGAAAACCACACCTCTTTATCCTGCGACTGGGTGCCTCCATCTTAGTTCCATGTCAATCATCATTACATGCTCATTCCTTTGCACCTGGCAGTCAGCACAGAGAATGCATACAGAGCAGAGGAAGATTGAAACAATGTTTCTATTTCTCCTATTTATTAGCATAATTTGCCCTGTGTGTGCCTTGTCTGAGCTGAATTATGACATCATTTGATAAACCTTTAATATAAATTTAAATGAAAACGGCGCATTCCATAAAAAAAAAGATTGACACAAGTCATAGGTAATTTTCAGTTTTTTATTCAATGGTGTAAATTACAGAGAAGTGACCGTCCCCCCTTAAAAAAATATGCCAAGCTATGAGCAACAAGCATTTTATCATGACGAATAAGATAACTGGTACTTTGTAGGAGCTGATTATATGAACTATATTTATATTTAACTTTCTTCCATTTAGCAATTTCTGTTCTGTACTTGTAGTGAAGAAAGTGAAAAAATTAATTACACACTACAGAGAAGAATGACTTATAGGTTTTCAAAAATCAAGAGAGAAAGCAGAGGGGGATGGGGTAAAAACCATCTTCTTTAACTTTTGATACATTCTGCGGCGTGACCCCTACACAAAATGACCATGGCTTATGTGAATGTCCAGCAAAAATAGCAACAAAATTATAGCCTCAATCTATCTTCTGTCTTCACAATTACAGGCAAAAAATAGCAAGTGAATAACTGCTTGCAATGAATTGAAGCAATAGTGTTAACTCTTGATAAGATATGTAAAACCCTGGACCAATTTCACATCTAATTGTTTAGATACACCTGTGATGTAGCACACCTCTCATCAGGCAATTGGATACATTTCACAACAAACAACCATTGGCAAGGTATTACTGTTTAATTTACAATAGATCTGTAGAAACGTTGATTTTTCCAAATCTTCTAGAACACAGTAAAAAAAAAGGCAAATCTGCAGATAAAAAAAAAAAAAAATGTATAGGTTTTTTTATGCGTTTTGGCATTTTTAGTCCCTGATGAAGTCAAAGTAATACGGGCGAAATGCGTAGGTCTGTTCTTCGTCTGTGCTGTATCTTCACTGACGGGAAAAGGACATGTAGTATCGGCAGGTTGTTTTTGATGTTCTGTGATTTTATTTATTTTCTAAGTGCCTCTTGTTCATCAAAGTGTGCTGTTATGTGCTACATGTGGGATTTTAACTGTGAATGTCATAATACTGTTATCTTTTACTGCAATAAAACACACATATTTTTATGCTCTGATACTGTGATATCCCACGAGTGCAACTGACATAGAGTGCACACGCAGCTTATAGTGTAAAAATCTCCATACCAGAGCTTATCTATAAAACACTTTGAATCCACTGCTTCTCTCTGGACGTGCACCCAGTGTCTGGGATCAACATACTTTGCATTGCTACCTTTGGACATAACATTGATTCAATTATTAAATCTATTTTAGTCGGAAGCCCAAAGTGGTTGTCTGAATGACGGACACAAGGGGTGTGGTCACTGCGTAAGGCATGTCATGTCTACAAATGCTCGCAGTTTAGGGAATAAGATCCATGAACTTGTGGCAATAATGGCAACTGATAGTGTAAATTTAGTCGCTGTTACTGAGACATGGTATAATGAGAAAAATGAATGACTGGGACATAGCAATACCAGGGTACTCTTTATATAGAAAAGACAGGGAAGGCAAGAAAGGGGGAGGGGTGGCCCTGTATGTGAAGGATAGCATATAATCTGGCCTAATAAAAGTTAGTGAGGCGAACATAGAGTCCGTTTGGGTTACGTTAGAATTTGGTAATCACACAGTAACTCGTGTAGGTGTGATTTATAGGCCCCCAGGACAAATTGAAGAGTTAGATAATCTACTAGTTGAGGAAATAGCTAAAATCACAATGAATGGGGAAGTTATCATCATGGGTGACTTTATTCTTCCTGATGTGAATTTTAAAACAAAATTAGCTACTTGTGCCAGGAGCACACATATTCTAAACTCCCTACTGGGATTGTCTCTAAAACAAGTTGTTGAGGAGCCAACTCGTAAAGAGGCCATACTAGATTTAGTGTTAACAAATGGAGATTTGGTATCAGATATTACTGTAGGTGAAAGTTTAGGATCCAGTGATCATCAGTCAGTGTGGTTTAATATAAGAACAGTGACTGAGTCACACCACACAAAAACAAAAGTTTTAGACTTTAGAAAAGCAGACTTTTCTAAAATTAGAATATGGGTAGAGGAGTCATTATCAGACTGGAGCAATTTAAATGGAGTCCAAGAGAAATGGGATTACAGTATATACTCGAGTATAAGTCTAGTTTTTCAGCACATTTTTTGTGCTTAAAAACCCCCACTCGACTTATACTCGAGTCACTGTCTGTATTATGGCAACTTAGAGAGCCGCGGCCGTCAGAGCCGTGGCAACGATCCGCGCGGCAACCAGACCGCAATACTTACTGTGGAGCTGACCGGAACGGAGGAGAAGGGAGCTGACAGGAGCTGCAGGAAAGGTAAGTAAATGCTTCCTGCCGGCCCCCCACTTCACAGCCCATGCCACTGGACCACCAGGGATTAAGATAGCCCCCCTCCCTGACCAGTTAACAAGCAGGGAGGGGGGACAAAAAAAATTTAAAATAATAAAAAAATAATAATATTAAAATAAAAAAATTAAAATAATAAAAATGCCCTCCCCCCACCCAGTTCACACACACTACACAAACACACACTCTGCATTATATACACACTCTGCATTATATACACAGAGTGTGTGTATATAATGCAGAGTGTGTGTTTGTATGAGTGTGTGTGTGTATATAATGCAGAATGTGTGTTTGTATGAGTGTGTGTGTGTATATAATGCAGAGTGTGTGTTTGTATGAGTGTGTGTGTATATATAATGCAGAGTGTGTGTTTGTATGAGTGTGGGTATATCTAATGCAGAGTGTGTGTTTGTATGAGTGTGTGTGTATATAATTATAAAAATCACAGAATTTCATAACCCCAAGTTTTACCCTCGACTTATCCACGAGGCATAGCATATTTCACAATTGTTGGTCACAAAACTGCACTCGACTTATACATGAGATCGACTTATACACGAGTATATACGGTATTTAAAAGTTGCACTATTGAAGGCAACAGAAAATTGCATTAGGCTTGTCAGTAAAAGCAAAAAATTCAAGAAACCACTGTGGTACTCTGCAGATGTGGCCAAAATAGTTAAAAACAAAAAGTTAGCATTTAGTAATTATAAAAAAAAACAGAGTAAGGAAGACAAAAATGATCTATAAGATTAGGCAGAAAGAGGCTAAGCAAGTTATAATAGCTTCCAAATCACACACAGAAGAGAAAATAGCACAGTCAGTAAAAAAGGGGGACAAAACTTTTTTTAGATACATAAATGAGAAAAGAAAAGTAAAACAAGGATTAGATGGATTAAAAACAAAAGAAGGAAGGTATGTAGAAGAGAATAAAGGTCTAGCTGACTGCCTCAATGAATATTTTTGTTCTGTATTTACAGATGAAAATGAAGGAAAGTTTACAGAGGAAGAGGTTCTATTTCAACTGTCAAAAGTAAAGACAAATAAGTCAATGGTACCGGATGGAATACACCCAAAGCTATTAAAAGAGCTTAGTGGTGTACTAGCAAAACCATTAACAGATTTATTTAAACAATCATTGTTAACAGGAGTAGTCCCAGAAGATTGGAAGTTAGCGAATGTTGTGCCCATTTACAAGAAAGGTAATAGGGAGGAGTTGGGCAACTATAGGCCAGTAAGCCTTACTTCAGTAGTGGGGAAAGTGATGGAAACCATGTTAAAGGATAGGATTGTTGAACATCTAAAAACACATGGATTTCAAGATCAGAGACAACATGGGTTTACTACAGGGAGATCATGCCAAACTAATATTATTTATTTTTTTGATTGGGTAACTAAAATTATAAATCAGGGTGGTGCAGTAGACATTGCTTACCTAGATTTCACTAAGGCTTTTGACACTGTTGCACATAGAAGGCTTATCAATAAACTGCAATCTTTGATTCCAATATTGTTGAATGGATAAGGCAGTGGCTGAGTGACAGGCAACAGAGGGTTGTAGGCAATGGAATATATTCAAAGCTTGGACTTGTCACCAGTGGGGTACCTCAGGGATCTGTACTTGGACCCATTCTCCTTAATATTTTTATTAGTGATATTGCAGAAGGTCTTGATGGTAAGGTATGTCTTTTTGCTGATGATACTAAGATATGTAACAGGGTTGATGTTCCAGGAGGGTAAGCCAAATGACAAATGATTTAGGTAAACTAGAAAAATGGTCAGAATTGTGGCAACTGACATTTAATGTGGATAAGTGCAAGATAATGCATCTTGGACGTAAAAACCCAAGGGCAGAGTACAGAATATTTGATAGAGTCCTAACCTCAACATCTGAGGAAAGGGATTTAGGGGTGATTATTTCTGATGACTTAAAGGTAGGCAGACAATGTAATAGAGCAGCAGGACATGCTAGCAGAATGCTTGGTTGTATAGGAAGAGGTATTAGCAGTAGAAAGAGGGAAGTGCTCATGCCATTGTACAGAACACTGGTGAGACCTCACTTGGAGTATTGTACACAGTACTGGAGACCGTATCTTCAGAAGGATATTGATACCTTAGAGAGAGTTCAGAGAAGGGCTACTAAACTGATTCATGGATTGCGGGATAAAACTTACCAGGAAAGGTTAAAGGATCTTAACATGTATAGCTTGGAGGAAAGACGAGACAGGGGGGATATGATAGAAACATTTAAATATATAAAGGGAATCAACACAGTAAAGGAGGAGACTATATTTAAAAGAAGAAAAACTACCACAACAAGAGGACATAGTCTTAAATTAGAGGGACAAAGGTTTAAAAATAATATCAGGAAGTATTACTTTACTGAGAGGGTAGTGGATGCATGGAATAGCCTTCCAGCTGAAGTAGTAGAGGTTAACACAGTAAAGGAGTTTAAGCATGCGTGGGATAGGCATAAGGCTATCCTAACTATAAGATAAGGCCAGGGACTAATGAAAGTATTTAGAAAATTGGGCAGACTAGATGGGCCGAATGGTTCTTATCTGCCGTCACATTCTATGTTTCTATGTAACACTGTAATTTCTCCAAAAATGTCACTATTTTCTACTGTGACAAAGCAGGAGAAGAATCTAGCCCCCACGATCCTTTCATTAGGATAAAGTGATGTTGGTGCTTAGACTGTCCCTTTAAATGTAATTTTTGTAAATTGTGTTGATATTTGCCCTTACCACAAAGCATTACATTTCAGATTGTTGCGAATGCCTCCTACATCTTGTTAAAACCTTAGGGATTTAAAGAATGCAGTATAAGCAGAAAACGTCAATAAACTGTGTTTTTTTACATTTTGAAAAGCATGCAAGGCATTTATTTCTTTCAAATCGGCGCTTAGTGACTATTTTACCTGCATCCTTTCCTGATAAACTGCTGGAATCTGATAAAACTCACATTGCGGCCTTTTTAATCTTCCGATGAATATTTGAAATTCCATGAAATATCTGTAGATCTGCATCTTCTGCCCCACTTTGAACCTTCTATCTTTTATATGTCTGGATTCTCTTCATGCTAATATTTACCGCAACAGTAAAACAATTTAAGGGAATAAACACAAATTAACTGACTTACCTATGTGTGGAAATGGAAACAGGAAGCTGCTTCATTAAAAAGAATGTAACATTTACCCATGGCGAAGGACGAAAAGTTAGTTAGTTGGACCGTGGTCCTATTGGGGAGATCAAAAGATTCCTCCATTAAAAGAACACTCTTGTCCCCTTATAGGAACACTCAGTTGAAAAAATATTTACAGTATATTTGTCGTGGCCTACTCGCAGAGGACCCAAGTGTCCCCGCCATGGACCCCCTTTTCCTCAGTAATTATAGCCCTGTGATGATTTCAGAGAATTATAGCTGTTAAGGAGATTCACCCCAAGCACTTGCCAATACTTGGTGTAGGATGAAGTAGAACTGATTTTATTAAGAAAACACTTTTATACCTGGGTCCTCAACTGGAGGCCCCAAGGAGAACAATAAGGATTGCAACATACCTGGCTCCAAGGGGTCTGCACCTGAGCAGGTAATTGAGTTAGCGTCCAGATACTTCGACGCCAGTTAACATTTTTACAGAAAACCTGAGCTTCCCATGCCAACAGCCCCAAACAAATGGTGTCTCCTGAAAGCTCTCTTCAGTGCACCCACTATGTCCAAAAAGAGATCGTACCATTGATGGTTGGACAAGTTAGCTGGAAGTAACATCCGGTGCAGAGTTCCATAACGCTGGGTGGAAAACTCCAGTCACGTAAAACAACGGTGCTTTCGGCAGGTACATTGATCTCTCTTAAACCCTGGGTACCGTTGGTTGCCTCACCACCTTCTCTATCTCCCCTCCAATAAGCGCTTTGCTAGGTGACTCTGGGACAAAGTTTTACCGGACCAAAGCTGGTCTGTGATCCGATCAGGAGTTCCATAGTGATTGGTGGTTGCTCCTGGTCAGGCGCACCGTGCCTCTGTGGCCTTTTTGTGGGTCTCTGATGCCCCTGGAAAGGGCGCTGGCCTGGGTGGAACGACCTGGAGGGGTAAATATGGTGGGAACAGCTTTTTTTTAGAGGGAGGTGGTGGTTGGGAGCCATGTACCGTTCCTGAGTGTCCGGTATATATATATATATATATATATATATATATATAGTTTTTTACACTACTGGTAGATAAATTCCAATAGAAAACATGCATGTATAGGGAAATTAGCTTGTAATAGCTGCATATCTAGTGTCTGCTGTAAGTCTTCTCTTTTTTTTCCCAGCACACACTTTCGGTTTCAGTGGATTGACCAATCAGAGGGTTTTCATTTACACATTCTCAATGAGTTGTGTTGAGAAGATGACGACAGGCATCTATTGTCATGTGCTTGACATGCTACTGTCAGGAGGACAGGGACAGCATAGGGGGGTGTGCGGCCAGTGTCTCTCTGGTGCCAGCATGCTGTTCGAGCTGGTGTCAGACACCAAATTTGCAGATGGTTAACATTAGCCACTCGGAACTCTTGTCCTATTGGCACGACTGGAGGTGGAGTTACGGAAGGACTAGTTTCTGTAGATGCGCAATTTTATACAAATGTTTCACATGCAAGCTCTATGTACCATGACCACTTCAATTCAGTGAAGTGGTCATGTTTCCTGGAGTAACCCTTTAAGTGTATAATCTAAAAACATGTTTTAAAAAGCTGCTACTAATTTCCCACTATCAGTTGTACAGCATGTAGAAATATAAACGTGGGATACTCTTACTAAAATAAAGTGTATTCAAAATGTATAGAAACGTGTACGTTTTGAATGCATTGTTTTGTTTTTTTGTTTGTTTTTCTGATTCCTTTGTCACTTGTCTGCATTCCCCTGTTTATTGAGAATGATTTTACTGTTTAACCCCTTAAGGACCAAACTTCTGGAATAAAAGGGAATCATGACATGTCATACATGTCATGTGTCCTTAAGGGGTTAAAGATTAATTAGGCACTGTACAAAACAAAATTAACCTTTTAGCTATTATTGGGAGGTCAATCCCCATTATTCTTTTCCCTGTCCAATACCATCATATCATATTTCATTAATCTGTTGGCACCCCCATAGGATGCCATACAGAAATGCCACTACAAAGCCAATAGGAGTTTGAGCTGTACTGAAAATACTGTCTTAAATATATCTCAACTGTCCTGTGGCCAAACACACTGTATTCCTGCTTTTTAACCACCACTGCCAGCTCACCCAGTTGGCAGCGTGTATACCTAAACATAGCCTATCCCTACCCACACTGTCCAGAAAACAGCGCTTACAGTACAGATCATTTAAGCGTGTCCATTTATTTAAAGCCACAGAACAAAAATGGAGCAATGTATTTGTCTATACTTTTGCTCTCTTGCAATGTATACGTATGCGTATACGTATATATATCAGAGCAAATGAAAAACGCTATAATTCATTTCTTGTTTAATTAAAATACTAATGTCTTGTATGTTTGGGCAAGAGCCCGGAGGTCTCAAGGAATTTTGAAAGTATATTATGAGTGTAACATTGGCTGAACACAGTACTGTATTTTTTTTTGTGTGCAATTTTTACCGTATCATGCAATTTTATTCACTGTTCATCGCAGTAGCTTGGTTATGTCCACTATTTTAGTTTTCGATAAAACATACAAAGAAAATTAGATAGAACTTTTATAAAAACATTTTTTACACATTGTTTCGTTTTTATGATTATCTTTTTCACTTATGACTGATTTGTTAATGCCCCCTTTATTACAAATTAGAGGGTAGAAGACAAATAATATTGGGGTGAAGGAGGCAGAACTGGGCCAGGATTTAGCACTAGAGTTGGGTTCTCCTAAAAGAGTCCTGACAGCTTAGACACTATTTCTTTGTGAGTCAGAATTTCTCAAGCATGAAAGTAAGTTGCATACACACCTTTTTTACTCATATCATTCAGTTTGAAAGCAACATGTGGGGCCAAATGCTGATGGGGGGGGGGGGGGTGGGAGGAGGGGAGGGGTGCACAACATCTGGTCTTTATTTGGTTCTTAGGCGTACGTATTACAACAATTTTCCCACATCGTGTTTTCTCTCAATTCATGAGCCAGACTCGTGAAAAACAGGACACTGGGTTTATTTAATCCCTCTTTGGACTGCATTCATCGCTTTCAGTTTGTTGTGTGGTTTCAGTAAAATAATCATGTCAATTTCATCCTCAATGTTTATTTCAAGGACATCAATTGACCCCCTCAAATGTAGAAATCAGAGCATCCCTTTGTACAGTGCTACGGAATTTGCTGGCGCTATATAAATAATAAAATATTAATAATAATTTGACAAAGTGATTATATGGCTTAAAGAGATATTTAAAAATGTTTCCACTTCCAGGTTCTTTTCTCAATGCTCACACAAATACATACATGAATGGCAAAGCATTTATTATGGGTTAATATTTTGAGATGCCATTGTTTTTCCTTAATCCATGCTTTAGTGTAACAACCCCTGGATGTTTGGCTAATATAACATCCCCAGGACGTACTTGAAACCCAGAGTAATCTGAATGTACCTTTCCTGGTTAAATACTTTGTTATTATTATTAATATTAATATTTTAGATTACATTATTTAAGAAAAATAGAATTAGGGTAGTATAGTTAAGGCTTGGATTAGTGTGAATAGTGCTAAGGTTAGAGTTAGAATTAGAGTTAGAATTAGGGTTAGAGTTAAGGTTAGATTTAGGGTAGGTGTAAGGTTAGAGTTCGGGTTAAGGCTAAGGTTACAGCTAGGGTTATAGTAAAGGTTAGAGCTAGGGTTAGAGTTATGGTTAGAACACAAGAAAGGTAGTAGGGAGGAGTCGGGCAACTATAGGCCAGTAGGCCTTACTTCAGTAGTGGGGAAAGTAATGGAAACCATGTTAAAGGATAGGATTGTTGAACATCTAAAATCACATGGATTTCAAGATCAGAGACAACATGGGTTTACTTCAGGGAGATCATGCCAAACTAATCTTACTGATTTTTTTGATTGGGTAACTAAAATAATAGATCAGGGTGGTGCAGTAGCCATTGCTTACCTAGATTTTAGTAAGGCTTTTGACACGGTTGCACATAGAAGGCTTATCAATAAACTGCAATCTTTAAGTTTGGATTCCAATATTGTTGAATGGGTAAGGCAGTGGCTGAGTAACAGGCAACAGAGGGTTGTGGTTAATGGAATATATTCGAAGCTTGGACTTGTCACCAGTGGGGTACCTCAGGGATCTGTACTTGGACCCATTCTCTTTAATATTTTTATTAGTGATATTGCAGAAGGTCTTGATGGTAAGGTATGTCTTTTGCTGATGATACTAAGATATGTAACAGGGTTGATGTTCCAGGAGGGATAAGCCAAATGACAAATGATTTAGGTAAACTAGAAAAATGGTCAGAATTGTGGCAACTGACATTTAATGTGGATAAGTGCAAGTTAATGCTTATCAATAAACTGCAATCTTTAAGTTTCGATTACTGAGAGGGTTGTGGGTGCATTCAATAGCCTTCCAGCTGAAGTGGTAGAGGTTAACACAGTAAAGGAGTTTAAGCATGCGTGGGATTGGCATAAGGCTATCCTATCTATAAAATAAGGCCAGGGACTAATGAAAGTATTTAGAAAATTGGGCAGACTAGATGGGCCGAATGGTTCTTATCTGCCGTCACATTCTATGTTTCTATGTTAGGAATATATTTAAGGTTACAGCAAGGGTTAGAGTTTGGGTAGGACTAAGCTTAGAGCTAGGGTTAAAGCTTTAGTTTGACATTTTGTATGGTTAAGGCTAAGGTTAGAGCTAGGGTTAAAGTTAAGGCTAGAGTTAGGATACGGCTACGATTAGGGTAAGAATTAGGGTTAAAGTTACGGTTACAGGTAGGGCTAAGGTTAGAGCTAGGATTAGAGCTAGGATTAGAGCTAGGATTAGAGTTAACGTTAGAGCTAGGGTTAGTGCTAAGGTAAAAACTAGGGTTAAATTTAAGGTTATAGCTTAGAGTTAAGGTGAAGATTATAGCTAAGGTTTTAGGGTGTGTTTGATTGGCTAGAGCTAGTGAGTTTTCCCTTAATCTTAGGGCAGCTCAAACAAATCACCACTGAATAAGCAGTTTCAATATTGTTTCATAATGTGAACAGTGAACACATTTGTCCTGGATTTAGTAATATGCAGCACTTTATGGTATATAAATGCCATTTATATACTTTAATAGACATTCCATTTTAAAGATGGACTTGTTGAGAACATACTACATTGCCCTGAGTAAGTCTGGTGGACACACACGAAATGCGTTGGTCGTACTCTTTGCCTTGACGTGGAAGGTGGGCTTACATCTAATAGCCACTTGAGTGGAACTAAAAACCTCCACTTATCTAAATATAAATAGGGATTTGGAATAGTGCGCAAGTAACTTTTTTCTTTGGTTTTTCTAGTGCTCTTTATGTCTGTGGGACACTGTGACTTGCAGATCCGGAATTGTTGAAGGTGTAATAACATTACCAGGACCAACTTGTCAAGGTAGGGTAAGATTTTAGTTTTTTGTCTTTCATACAGATATTAAACAAAACAAAAATAAATAAATAAAACTTCTCCCTAAAAGGCCAGGGTCCTGTTTACAGAAGCGATGGCTTAAAACTTGCGAATGTCAGGCCTGTTTGTAGTTTTGGTCTGTTAACATGTTTCAAAACTGTCCCAGGGATTTTGGAAAAGAGAAACTAATTATAGTAATTAAGAAATATGTAGTGTGGATATGATATGAAAACTCAGGCCAAAGTAAATATTCCAAGTAAAATTATGGAAGATGTTGTCTTCCAAAATTAGAGATAAGGACTGCAATTGGAAAGTCCCTTCACTGTATCCACTTGGTAATGTATTTTGGGTACAGTATGGAATAGAAAATAATTAATGTCTAGTTCTGCCAACACTACATCTGCTAATACTAACTTCTATGTAAGTTAATAAATTTGCATTGTGTTCTTTACTTGGTTGCTATTTTATTGGATTGCACTTTGTGTTTTCTCATTTTTTATGTTAAATAAAGCTCAAGACCTGGAACAGATCCACACCTATTACATTGAAGGCTCTTTATCCATGTTTAATAAATTGTGAGCGGCGTATATAATTATCTCTTACCTTGCTGTATGGTTTTGCACTATGTTGTGCCATTTATTCCCTGGCAGGATTACCCCTATTTTTGTACATAGAAAAAATGTAATGTCTGTTTTTGTCTTTTCTTAACCCCTTTGGAACAAGGAATGGATTACGCCTAACGGCAAGAACAATGTGTACTTTTTTTGCCATGTGTTTATTCAATTCCAATTTCCAACTTTCTCATTTACAAAAATCATAAATATTTACCTAACACGAAAAGTTAATCATCTGAAAACCAGATTACAAAATTTAGGCTAAATATCCAAGATGTCACTATAGCCAAATTTAAGAATTTTTCCAAATCAACATATTTTTTTTTTACTATTTGTTTCACTGTTTAGTGAATAAAGGGTTATCATGTTATTACCTCAGAAGTTTTGTCAGAGTAACAAAACAAATGGGGTAGAGGGGTGGTCAGTGATATGATTGTGTCACTGGCTCCACCCCAAATGGGGCAGCCTGCTCACCTGAATTACTGTCAGGTCAGCCTGGCGTTCATTCAGTCAAGCGTGTCATTCAATCAAACCAGCCACTGTGGGCTGACCCTGCAGGAGGTACTGTTCAGTGCTTCCTGCAGGGTCATAGTGTCCTCAATATAGTGCATGCGCATCAGATGATAACACAATGCTTTTTTGGGGACAGTTTACTGGTATTGAGACGGTGAGACAGAACTAGAATATCGGGCCTGTACTGCCAAAGTCAGGATGGTTGGATTTGAATGAATTATTTCTACAACATAAGTAGCTACTGAGTGTTGTCATTTTTACTTATACAGCAAATATCTTTCAGATACAACAGAAATCCATTGCAACATTAATAAGACAACTCTATGATCCTTATCTCAAGCAGGAACAACAAACCTCCAGCACCCATGATGCACTTATCTGCTAAATTCTTAAACAGAATTTTATTATGTTTGCTGTATCACTGTTGATTATTTTGTCATAAGTCTTGGGGAAAATATTAAGGAATTCATCCTGAATTCTTACTACAGATCGTTAAGTAATTATTTTGACAGTAATGTGTATGAATCGTGATCCTTTGTAACAAATTACCGATGCTCAAATAGTTCATTAAACCCGTAGAGTAGTTTATTTTGATAAGCTGTAAAAATACTTGGAGAAAAATGATTTTTATTTATGTATTTATTTTCTCAGCATTCAAATTCTTCTGGTTTGGGTAATCTAGGGGGAAGTCATGATTGGTGTTGAATTACGAGCCTTAAAAGGACATATAGAGCCAGACAGAGATTGAATGAATGGGACAGTTCTATCAGTACTTGTAGTTTAATGTTATGGAAAATATACAGTACCAAGAATGTTCCAGGACTATCTCATTCTGATATAACCCTTGAAATAATGCAAAATTAAGATTTCTTTTTACGTCAACTAACAGTTTTTATTGCTGTTAGCAGGAATAGCAAATGCCTGTTTGTCAATCAACTACAGGATGTTGTGTTCCCAGGAAATACCAAACATTTTAATGCACAGAGTGGCCAGACAGAAATTTTATCTACAATGCTTCCGGTTGTTTCTTAAAGCGATAGTGTCACCCTAGAAAGCACACTTTATTATTGGAAAGATTTTATTGAACGTCTACGGATTATTTTTGACTGAGTTTTTTAAACAAGTGTGGGGAGAATGTGACAATGGACTCATGCAGTCTGGCTTCTCTCCTTACCCATCAATCAGCTGTCGGCCTACATGTCTATGACAGGGAAGAACAGGAGAACCACTTATAGATGGGTCTCCAGTGTCTGCCAATAAAGTCAGTGTGTGAGCATTATGGTGGAGGATTGCCATATTTGGGGAAGTTTTAGGGAAGGGAGAAGGGGGCGACTGGAAAGTGGGCAACACATTCATGCAAAATTCACAGACCTTGAAGCATAGTGGCAATAGAATGCTAGAGAAGAAATAAGTATAAATGTGCAAAAATGTGTTTTGTCCATAAATTTATTGATTTGTACGAGTCAAAATCCTTCCAATATACACCTGAGAAAAATCAATTCTTTAAAGGGACAGGGCATGTGTCACTTGACAATTGTTTTTTTAAACAAGCAAGCAAACTCTTGTAAACAAATATACAAACCAGAAAAACTTTGAAAAGTATGTAATAAATGTCAGTAACAGTAAGAGGAGAGAAAAACCTGACACTGGAGCCTGCTAATCAGACTCCTTCTCTTCTCCCCCTGTCAAGATGTTGCAATGTGAAGATATTTTCCAACTGCAAATCTGTCAGGAATGCACAATGCAATTTTCCAGCATTCCTAGGGATAGGATACTGGTTGGTTAGAGTGGGTGAGGAAACAGTCTCATTCAAAGCTAAAGCATTTCTCTTTAAGTATTTCTTGAATTAACCAATTTTTATTGGTGTGGCTTCAAAGGATTTTGATTTATATGATTCGATTCATTTATGGGAGAGATAAGTAAGCTCTAAACCAATTAAAAATATAATTTATTTTATTATAACGATAACTCGTGATTTTATTGTTTTATGATCTGTTAGACGTTAGGGTGAGCTAATCATGGCTGATTCATTTTAAAGAGCAATCTGTTATAGTTCCTTAGCTACGTTATAGTTCAGCGATTGATGCGTGTGGCAGATTTTTAGAGCAAAGTAAAATATCAATTGTGGCAATGAACAAGATCTAAAATAAAATGTAAGCATGTGGAATAGTGATGTCCCGAACTGTTCGCCGAACGGTTCGGGAACGGTTCGCCACGGACGGTTCGCCACGGACATTCCAGCCAATCAGCAGCAGACCCTCCCTCCCAGACCCTCCCACCTCCTGGACAGCTCACTAAGAACGCAGCTTCACAATGGATGCTGTCCAGGAGGTGGGAGGGTCTGGGAGGGAGGGTCTGCTGCTGATTGGCTGGAATGTGTCTGCTGACTGTGAGGTACAGGGTCAAAGTTTACTCAATGATGAGTCAGTGGCGAACCGTTCGTGGCAAACCGTTCGGCGAACAGTTCGGGACATCACTAATGTGGAATAAAAAAATGTGATATAATTGTAAGCTCTTCTATAGGCTTAAACCTATTATATCCTGTTAAGTTTGCTCAGTGAAACCAAATTATTAAAGTGGGTTCTTGAATCATTTTTATCAACAGCTTGACATCTATCGGAGGTCCTGTAGATTTACCTAAAGAACAGGAAGCGTGTTTTAGTTCTTGAAACATGTCCAGAAATTACTTCTTCCTGATAGACTGTAATGTAACTTATAGGGCCAGAAATATTTTAAATTTTTTTTAAAATTCTTTATTTTTGTAGTGCTAAGAATTACAGACACGCTTATATCGCCACGACAGTAGATACAAGCCGATGGAACAACACAAGATAATCAGTAACAAGGCCAGGTATAAAGGATACAGCTTACTGCCAGGTATAAAGGATACAGCTTTTAACAATGACAGACAGGGAGCTAAGATGGAGGCACCCAAAAAAGTGCAGTATGTTATGTATAATTTTTTTCCTCACACTACGTAAATGAATATTTTGTTAAATATAGGGCTATAAAAAACATAGTATTAAAAAGTTGCCATTTCCCTTTAAAATGTGATAGTTATAGCAAAGCACCCTGGAATTAGTTCTGTGTACATTTTATAACTATGTAACCTGCACACTTGACATAAATGAAATACATTTCAATTTTGAATTATAAAATCATTATAATAACAACGCATAATGCAATGGCATTTAGTGTACAGCAGAATTAGTATGGGCTTAATCCTACATCACCTAACCCCAGTGGTGACATTTTAAATGCCAACACTGCTATGATAACACTATTCTATTATGAATGTAATCACATTTCTGTGTCCCTCAAATGCAGTATTTTCAGTACATTGCCTGACACATCAGGATGGAATATACTTACTCTTTTTCTAATACTTGGTAGAGATAATGCATTGAAAATGATCTCTTGCTTGGTTCAAATGTGCAGCATCTTCAGGGACCAAGGAATGGTTGAAATGTATCAGTCAATCCGTGGCTTCTAACTGTTTTCACTGAGATCATTATCCTTATTAAATATATCCCTGCATTGACATATGGAACGTAAGCCGTAAGTAGTTTCATTCATTAAAAAACATAGAAACGAATCTGTAAACTAAAAAAAAAGCCATCAAATAGCTACCAACAGCTACATACATGTTACTTGTGCCGAATGTAATTAATAGCCAAATAAACGTACAATCGTTTTTTGTTCTTTAAATCTTTGCAGATAAACTTGGCTCCTTATTGATATGATTCAACCAGTCCTACAAAGCTGGCACCAAGTTTTGTTTTTTTGCCCTAAAAATAAAATATTTCTGGCCCTATAAGTTACATTACAGTCTATTAATTACATTCGGCACAAGTAACATGTATGTAGCTGTTGGTAGCTATTTGATGGCTTTTTTTTAGTTTACAGATTCGTTTCTATGTTTTTTAATGAATGAAACTACTTACGGCTTACGTTCCATATGTCAATGCAGGGATATATTTAATAAGGATAATGATCTCAGTGAAAACAGTTAGAAGCCACGGATTGACTGATACATTTCAACCATTCCTTGGTCCCTGAAGATGCTGCACATTTGAACCAAGCAAGAGATCATTTTCAATGCATTATCTCTACCAAGTATTAGAAAAAGAGTAAGTATATTCCATCCTGATGTGTCAGGCAATGTACTGAAAATACTGCATTTGAGGGACACAGAAATGTGATTACATTCATAATAGAATAGTGTTATCATAGCAGTGTTGGCATTTAAAATGTCACCACTGGGGTTAGGTGATGTAGGATTAAGCCCATACTAATTCTGCTGTACACTAAATGCCATTGCATTATGCGTTGTTATTATAATGATTTTATAATTCAAAATTGAAATGTATTTCATTTATGTCAAGTGTGCAGGTTACATAGTTATAAAATGTACACAGAACTAATTCCAGGGTGCTTTGCTATAACTATCACATTTTAAAGGGAAATGGCAACTTTCTAATACTATGTTTTTTATAGCCCTATATTTAACAAAATATTCATTTACGTAGTGTGAGGAAAAAAATTATACATAACATACTGCACTTTTTTGGGTGCCTCCATCTTAGCTCCCTGTCTGTCATTGTTAAAAGCTGTATCCTTTATACCTGGCAGAGAGTACACATAAAAGATGTGAAATGAAACAATGGCGTTCAGCGTCTCTACGCTCTGCGTGGATGTGCTAAACATTCCTCATAGAGATGCATTGATTCAATGAGGAAATGCTGATTGGCACAGCTCTGCGTTTTGAGTTTAACATTGGAGAGAAAGCATTGCATTGGCTGAGATCATCAAGTTTGATCATCTCAGCTTAAGCAAAGCTCCATTTCAGCTGCTAAGCTAATTTATCTGCACTCCAGTGAAAAAAAAATCCCACAGAAAGGCAAACTGTGCACTTTATGACTCAAGGCAGAGTCTAAGTGTCCACCTTGACAGCCGCCACCAGTGACAGCTGCAGGGAATAGGCTGTGCCTATAGAGGATCCCACAGTCTCATGGGATCCTCCATAGACCTCAATTCTGTACTCTTGCACATGCGCAAGAGTACAGCAGTGACATCGAAGAGGCTGAAGAAGATGGCAGCAACAGCGAGGCACAGGTTCAGGTAAGCAAATCTTACCTTTACCTACCCCCTGGCCAACGGTCCCCCAGCAGCGATGTCACCATCGGGGGTCTTTGCAAATATGACAAAGCCCCCAGACGGTGACAATGTTGCTTTAAAATAAAGGAAAGGAGGGGGTTGGACCTGACATCCAAGATGGCCGGACGTGTCTTCAACTAGCTCCTGCAAATATAGGGCAAATCTACAGAACATGAGGCTTTCATCCTGGACAAACGAAGTCAGACACTCACAGCAAACTGATACCACAGCTGGTGGATCAGTTCCAGCCTGAACAAAACCGAACTGTCTGAAGGAGACCTCGGCCGGCACTGCTGCCTAACTGTGACTAGCAGCCTGAAGGTGGAGAGAGGCGGCCGATCTCCCACCTTGAACAGCGCACCTCACTGCAGCCCCAGGGCTCTGAAGCCCCGCTACCCCCCCCTGGACTGGTGGGGGTCATCCCAGCCCCCACAGGGAACCACTTCTTGATGAATACAGGGCCGCGTGGTGTGACTAAAATGGCCACTGCACAGCACGACCAAAAAAGCCCGGCAGGCCAATCATTGAGGGAAACCTTCAAAGCGAAATTCGACGCGATCTGCCAAGCATTCTGGCAGAGGATCGACAACAGACAACCCGCCCACGCCGCAGGCTCCACACCACCGACCCTGCAAAGCACTGCAGCATACAAGCCTACATATGGACGGAGGGTCAATGTGGATCTGCGCCCACCTCACCGACCACCTACACACATGGCTTCCCGCGCTCTGGAATCCCTGCAGGTCTCTTGCCTACCCACCTGGAATGGTGAAATCCCAGGACATGGGGCAACCAAGCTCAGTAAGACCCGAGGGGTTAGGTTGTGGCACTGTGGAACGGACTCTGTACTCCAGCATACAACTAAGCTACATCCTCATCTTAATCGGGGTGTCAGGGTGCAAAGCAGCTTGGACTTACCTAAACAAGTGCAAACACTGCCGCTGATGGGGATTGGCTGATCCGGATGCAGGACACTAAGCCGGTGCTCCATGCTACCTGCCATAGACGCTTCGCACAAGGCTATGTAAAACATTTGCTTCACGCTCATCTTGCCTACAGCTAGTTATACTATGTTTTTTGCAATACTCACCTACATTCATTATAATAGCAATAGGATGCCTAGTTCCATCAGTGATATTAACACATCTTGCTCAGGTCTACCTATATATACCCTGATTTTATGCCCATAACAATATAATGCTATGTCAGACCTACTGTCGTAGTTTAGCAGTAATGGCTAATGAGCACACACTAGGCTTCACACAGGTCAGCTCCTGCTGATAACAGGATAGCCCAGTTAAGAAACCATCACCCTTTCTCACTATTGCTAGCATGTCAATACCTTATATAAGCAGGTTCCTTTGGTGTATATAGTCTGCGTAAAATGATATGACTGCCATTTCTATTCACTGACACATTAAGCCTGAGTAACAAAATGAAAAATGTGCAGTCCTTGCCATGAATTTACTACCGTTGAAAGGCTCCTACGCGCTGTTATGGCGGAGTATGCAGTTTTGTCAAGCACTTAACATACACCGTGCCTCTTGCTATATTGCCATTTAACTCTCCTGATAATCTCACAGGTTACACTCATAGCATAGGGCATATGGCATTTATATCAAAGCAACGCTCATCTCGTAGGCTTGAACTATGCTTAATCTTTATATTTTCCTGATCGTATTCAAATTGTCTATTCTACTCCTCGTAGTTACCAGCCTGGTTGAAGCTAATGTTATAAACATTTCTCCCTAGCCTGATTTCTTTAAAAATTGTGCTGTTAATGCTTGCCTTGTTACTGATTATCTTGTGTTGTTCCATCGGCTTGTATCTACTGTCGTGGCGATATAAGCGTGTCTGTAATTCTTAGCACTACAATAATAAATATATTTTTTTTTAAATTACAAAAAAATAAAGGAAAGGAAACTGAAAGAAAATAAAAATGAAATACATGACAGAGCAGCTTTCATTTTTCAGTACTTGATCAATCACTACTTGAAAATTAGTGTAATGACTAGACTTGCGCACATATTCTTTTCAGCTGGTGCGAACAAATCAGTTTACTTTTAATCTACGTCCAAACAAACCTGTCTATCTGGGATTAACCAGTGGAGTTTTATTAGACTTCCCAGGTAATCCCATATGTATTGATTTATTTAGGCATAGATTAAAAGGAATTTAATGATCAGCTGAAATGAATTTGCGCGCAAGTCTAGTGATGACTAAGTTTTGGCATTCTGCCATATAACTGTTTAAGCACCATTACAAACATAATTTAAGTGTTAGAGTGGCAAAATTGGCCATTACTAACCAGTACTATCTAGTTTGATCCAGTACAGCAGTAGCCATGATTTTATGAAACTTGATGCAGTAAATCCTATTTATAAGGAAAGCTCTTGTACCATATGCAATGCTTAATTACACAGCCCTGTGTGATGAGACTCAGACCTGCTGGCTCTGTAAATGAAGCATGCGTTCCACATCCTTCTTTGTTTAGTCTGGAATATTACTGAATCCTATAATATTTGCCAGTCTTATGTAATCAGAAATCTCTTCTCACGTATTTACAATCCAAAGTGGAATTCTAGCATTAGAATTAGGAAAATATGTTTTATGGGTAGGGTATTGTATGTGAATTTATAATTGTTGGGTTTCGTGCAAAATCCCTGTTATTAGTATTCGGAGGTTGGATGTACAGTAATTAAGTTAAATTGCAATCCACATAAAGTTTACATTAACTCAGTGCATATGGTCTCTGCTTTAGACCCATGGAACATTTTTCGGCTTTCAATTTTCACAAATGTGAAAAATAATAAGCTAGTTTATAGCAAGTGTTGGGGTATGGGTTCCTCTGAAGACCATTGGGCACACCAGTGGCAAGTTATTGGTGACCATTGCAAACTTGCATCTTATTGTTCTCTACTGGGTTTTATGATATACTGATGGGAGGGGGCATTGCCATCTAGATGAGAAGACCTGTAGCTCCAGCTAGATACAATGTTTGGGTGAATGGAGATAGCTGAGGAAGATGGTTGCACTAAATAATCTCATGAACATCGAAGGGATATTTGAATGCAATTGTGGTCCCTGGAAGAGTGCCATAGATATAGAATGTTAAGGCAGCAATTATTTCTTCTTCGCCACAATAAATCCATCCCAAGGCATGTCCTTTCCATACTATAGACGGTAACAGGGAGTCTGTTGAATATTACCGCATAGGTGATATCTAGTGTGGCATAATTCCAGCATTCAGGGGAGTGGAGGAAGTAAAGCCAGTAGAATCAATGAGTCATATATACGTCTTATTTGCCACTTGGGATTCTGAAATCCGACCCCAGATTTTTCTTGTATCCACAGCTGTCAGCACTCATGCTTTAAATGAAGAGACCATCCTTTTCTCTTCTTTGGGTTATTGGTTTAACTCAGGGCTGTCCAACCTGTGGTCCCCCAGATGTTGCTGAACTACAACTCCCATGATTCCATTGCTATCTGTTTCATTGAAAGAATCATGGGAGTTGTAGTTCAGCAACATCCGGGGGGCCGCAGGTTGGACAGGCCTGGTTTAACTGATTTCACAGTATATGTAATTCTTAGTATTATCGAGTTCTAAAAACATAGCTACCTAGTCAAACGGAGGATGTTGTCTATATGTTTTTGAAGCACTTTATGAACCATCTTTCAGAAGACAAACATTTTAGAGTATCCCCTCCAAATAAGGAGCAGACTACCCATCCCTTCCTCACCCCTCCAGCACATTGTTGGTATTCTAGAGTACAGAACTTGGAGTGTTTGATAACAGCACGTTAGTAATTTCTAAAATATATTTTGGATGGAAGATGGATAGTCTTACCTTGCTCAATTACCCATTTTTCTAACTGAGAAAGAAATATCTGGTTTTGATCAAAATGTTATGTATTCAAGAGATGCTTCACTATAGTGGCATCATGGCCTCACACAGTTATTCAAATGGTGTTAATAAGCAATATGATCTGTGTAAAAAAAGAAAATATTAAAAACTTGGAGGTGAGTCAATTTATGTAGGAGAGATGAATCCCTCCCAGAGAGTGGTATAGTCAAAGAAGTCATTGTTCTTGGAGCAGTAAAAATGTGTTTTTCTCTAAAACAGAGAACATCTTGGAGTATCTGCTTCAAATGTCCCAGAGAAGCTAGTGGGAGATCAACATTGTTCCAAAGAGGGAGAAGTTGGCTTGGTTTGGTGATAAGGAAGTATTTGGGTAACAAATTCATAATGTATTCTGGATAAAAGGGTTAGGATTCACCAGTCCTTTCCCAAAGACAGACCTCAAATACGGCATTGCTGCAATGCCTATCTGAAGTGGCTCTACTTCTTGGACCACAGTGTTTCAATATATTCCATACTCAATACCCCAAGCCTTGATAAGTGATATTCTACATAATATTTATCCATGCCTTGGTGGGCCAAGCCTCCATGTTTTGGTGAAATAAGCTGGTTGTAAGCCTGGCTAAGCGGGGGGGCTATACCACCCAAGCCTGTGTATGACCACCTCGAGTTAAAGTAAGTGGTTGTGTGTAGAGCAGACATGACAACCATTCCAACTTGATTGCTTTATTAGCCCAACACATCCAGGATAGAATCTGCAGGTCCCATCACCTATGATCCACCATCAAATAGTTTGCCAGTGATATAAAGCTTCATTTAAGAGTTGCCCCGTTTCTTGGGGAAACTAAACTCCCAGGTACTGATTAGGACCAAACTTTCTCTTCCACTCATCAATATCCAGCAATACACCATTTAGTAAATAAACCTCATAACTTTTTTGTTATAAGGCTTGGAATCCTAAGGTCCCAATACTCAAGCCAGGCAGGTAATGCTATTACACTATGTTAACAACTGAGCTATTTACATTCACAATAAACACATGGAAAACCTTTACCATTGGATATATGCATGTTCCTGTTAATATAATGATCTCAGTGGTTGACTAATGTTTGCATTTGAGCCAGACAGGCACATTTATTTGCCAAATGTATTTATATTAGCAGCCGTGCGAAACATTCATCTATTCACTATAAAATTCTAAGAAAACCTAGACTGAATGATTATTAGCTGTGACTCACTACCTCCTGGGATTTGTCAAGCCCTGTCCTAGCTCATTATTAAGATTTAGCTGCAAGTAGACCTGGTTGAGTTTATGTACATCAGGAAATCCCTGAAATCTATGCGTTCTTCACAGTAATAGTATAGAGGAATACAGAATTTATGAAACCCACGAGGGACCTCCTTCAAAATGTGAATCATGTAAAGTGTGCTTAGCCTCATGCACAACAGTTTTTTTAGAATATAAATCAAAAGAAAAAGAATCCTGAGTATCTTCTAGTAGAATAAGATACTTAGTTTGGTGGATGCCCCAGAAATAACCTCAACACGTGATGTAGTAGTCTGTTCCCTGGATGTTCCATACATCTGTCAGTGTTACTATAACAGATTGACTATCTCCGTCACATCCTTTTACCCCTTCTAGTACTAGATACTTAAAGACAGACTCTTGGTCTAAGCTGGTCATATGGTCCATCTGAGGATACCACCTACAAAGAAGTAGCTTGCGAGCTCTTGTTCTCCACCAATCGTAGTTCACCAAGGCTCTAGCTTAAGCAACTGCTGACATTTCAAAGCCTCTTTCTCAGAGGATAAAACAGACATATAAATTACATAAAACACTGAAGATAAAATTACCAACATTTCCAATATGTATAAAAAGCTTCACTTCGAGAAGGTGATTGACAGTCAGTTATTATGCTACTTCAAAGTGTTACGCCAAGGCTAAAAATTAGAAGAGCTGCTTCATATTTATCAAAATGTAAAAAAAATGAAACAGTCAATGATAATATGTGCAATATATTTTGGTGATTGCTCTATAGCAGGGGTAAGAAACCTTCGGCACTCCAGATGTTGAGAACTACTGGCAAAGCATCATGGGAGTTGTAGTCCAAAACATCTGGAATGCCGAAGGTTGCCTATGCCTGCTCTACAGTTTGCACATAGAGTTCCATTCACTAAACGTCCACTTAGTGTCTGTTTGTTGGCAGTCCTAGGTCTCAGCCTGAGCATTGACATCATATTCAGCCATAGAAACCCCTAACACTTCCATCTTAATTTCCTCCACCTCCGCTATATGTTTTCTGCAACACAGGGCAAAGTGGAGCCGGAGTGAAAGACTGGTGATTGATAAGCAATTGCAATTCCTTGGATAATCACAACAGTAGAATAATTTACTTATGCCCTATATTAAAGAAAGACCAAAGAAGACCATTCACCAACCTGGTACACAAAGGGTTAAATGGACTCAACATATCAAGGGTTTCACTTATAAAATATTTGGGATCCTAACGATTGAGGCAGCATGCATAAGTGTGCTAAACGCAGAGGTCAGCAAACGCTTATTTTCACAAACATAACACGAGATGTATATGCATTTCTTAGCACAGCATGTAAATGGGAAGATTGTACAGCGCTACGGAATCTGATGGCGCTACATAAGTAATAAAATAATAATAATAATATAGTAAGCATTTAACATTGTCATTTTTATCATGATCGATTCCATCGAATCCTAACTTCCCATTGTGTTCTTAAACAAACAATGTATCTGTAAAATAACGACATTAAAAAAAGCGACATTTGCTGTATCTGAGACATTTATAATAAATCCTAATGTCTCAGTGTACACTCAGAATCTTTTTTGTTCCTTGTCCTATGGCAGAGTAATAGTTAATCTCTGAGCGTTCCGTCATATATTTCGCTAGTCCTCTGTGCATCACGTACAGTATACAGTGTGTATATGAGTAAATGATGTACTATTCTTATTTGAAATAAATATACCACCTACCATTTGTGTAACGTATGTAAAAGACTTACATGCAGGGCTATTAACTAAAATGAGAATTCAAAGTTAATTTCAAATTCAAGGCCAGAGTAGCCGAACTTAAAGTATAGCTGACAGATCATTTTTCCAGTTTGGCTATTTCACCTTAAATGTGAAATTAACTTTGAATTCACTTTAAATTCTCATTTTAATTAGTTACCCTGAAGGTGTCACATTCACAAATTGGTGTGAGATTAAAATGGTGTCAATCAGTCCCCCACTGTAGATGTTACAAAGTAATCAGGTTTTGTTCAAACCACAAACAATTCAGTAACTATATAGAATAACTACACAAAACCCATATCTTAAGTGACTTCCTTACTATATAAATAATAATAAAAAAAAATAATAATACCATTATTCATGACAACATTTTGACCATGATGGTATTTGTCCATAACCCCATTATACCATGCCATATATATGTCAGTGGTCATCAAAGGGTTAAGAAATACTTTCTCTGTGGCAGAAATCAAATAAGCACTATGAGATCTAAAAAAGAATTTCCATCCCATCTATAGCTAATAGTATTCCATTTGGCACTCTGCGTCACTGGGAGAAATGGCACTTAAGCTCCCCTATCCTGTGTATGATCATTTTGTACTTTGGATTAACTCTATCAATCTAACGATGCTGGTGCCTTATAACTAAGTGCTAATGGTGTCAATAGCGTTACATAGCTATATAGGTTGAAAAAATGTCTGTAATGAATCAGTACAAAAAAAAAACATGCATGTAAAATATTGACTTTTTTTTTTTTTTAAATACAATTTTAAAAAAGTTACATTTTCTAAAAATTGTATACAGAAAGAATGCATTTATTGTCTTGGTAAAGACAGTCCTGTTAGCTGTAACATATCCAAAGTTAAAGAATACACATTTAGAGATCTGTGTAAACACATTAGCCTTTACAAAGCAGAGTTTGTCAGACCACCCTTGTTGCTGATCAAATTTCAAACAACGAGAAGCAAATCTAATGGTCTCTCTGTGTGCTGTAGACATTGTGTAGGTGACAGAATCCTCTGTGAAGCTTAGGCATCTAATATAAATAATCAATAAACATCCAATAGACTTAGAACTCAGTGTGTATTTGTTTCTGCCTCTGATACTCCAGGAGCTATTTGGGCAAGCAGTCAGCCTTTTCGAACACTTGTGGCTTCTCAGTTGGTGGTAGCAGGAATCCGGATTAACCACAGGCTGCTAATGCTAACTACATCTATGAGTCTCTTTACCGAAACTGTCACTGATGGTACATCCACATAGTTCATCCTTGTTTCATAAAATTAAAAACTCAAAAATGAAAACCTTCCTTCTGCCACCCTATAAAACAGGCATAGGCAACCTTCGGCACTCTAGATGTTTTGGACTACGCCTCCCATGATGCTTTGTCAGCATTATGGGTGTAAGAGCATTATGGGGGATGTAGTCCACAACATCTGGGGTGCCGAAGGTTGCCTATCCCTGCTATAAAATGTCAGGATTGCGTACAAAAAAAGCCAGTTCTGGAGAACCGAGAATTGGAATCTTACAACATTTAAGATAAACTAGTGAATAAAATCTCATATTCATTTATGTTGCCTTTAATTTCATTCACATACATTCTAACATCATCACAAGTCACTCCGTCATGAACAAATACCCTAAGTTCCACTGCCCCCCATCAACTGTAAAAAAAAAAAAAATTGAGTTAAATCCAAAAAAAAGACTTTCTACTTTGGAGAATTCTGCAATGCCAAAAGGCTAAGGATTTTAATGAGTAATTTTTTATTTTTTTTGCTTTTTTGAAATCTATATTCTTAGTACATAAGAGCGAATCCACTTTAATTCCTAACATCAGACAATATGAAAAAAAATAAAATAAATCTTAACTTCTAAAACCATTCTTTTTATTCTTTGTTCAAACAGACCAAATTCATCAATTGTAATGTGTAATGCCAGGTCGTCTCAACACTACTGTGTGATTTCACTTTAAATGAAACACAAGATTAAAGCTACACAGAAAGATAATTAAACTCTATAGTACATTACCTCTATTTTGTTTTAATGAGTGTTGAAGATAAAAGATTTTCGTCCCAGCCGAATACCTCTTTTTACGTTTCCAAAATGACTGTCCTTTGCACAGAACTGCTGGCTTTTTTTGTCTCCTTAATTTGTTTTTTTCCTTATTTTTTCACTTTCCAGTCCTCCTGTTTACGGAGGAGGCTCCCAGCCTGTGTCCTCTTAGCCTGACTGACTGGAGAGGGGCTGAATGCTCCAAGCTTTTGTGTGAGGTTTTAGGATGTAATTTTGTTGCATGCAGTAGATCTCTGCATGCTCACATTGCCTACAACCTCCTCCCCTTTTAAAATATATTATATGTTAACCACTTTGGGCAACAGTGACATGTGGCTTTCATCATCCCACCTGCCAAAAATGAAAAAAAAAAAAAAGTTAAGATCATCTACCTCTCAGAACCAAATGTTTTTTTTCTTCAATTTTTTTTTAAATATATATATTTTAAATTAAATCAAAGAATCTAGGTTGTGTCAATGCGAAAAATACTAAAAGTGGAAGTGAGTTTCTGTGTCTATTTCCCACAATCTGAGTGGTGTGTAGTTATGTTGGCTACTTGCCTTCATAGTCCATGTGTTTGTATGGTCATGGTTCAAATAAAACTATACATTAAAAAAAAGCTAGTTGAGTTTTTTTTTTTTTTTTAGCTTTTATTATGAGATTCCAGTGAAAAAGTAAAAAAATTGGAGAAATTTTAAGGGACAAGTCATTTCCCATATTTTTTAATACTATGTATGTGTGTCCTCTATTTTTAACAAATATGTGTTTGTGGGTTATGAAAAAATATACTGAATGCAGAAATCCACACAACTGTATTTAACTCTGTCCTTGAACTGAGTGCCTCCATATTGTTTTCTTGTTAATAATTGTAATGAGTTTACCCTTTTTCTCACATTAAAGGACCACTATAGTGCAAGGAAACATACTCATTTTCCTGGCACTATAGTGCCCTGAGGGTGACCCCCACCCTCAGGGTCCCCCTCCCGCCGGGCTCTGTAAAGGGGAAAAGGGGTAAAACTTACCTTTTTCCAGCGCTGGTTGGGGAGCTGTCTGCCTCTGATCCTCCTCCGTTCTTCCCCGTCGGCTGAATGCGCACGCGCGGCAAGAGCTGCGCGCGCATTCAGCCGGTCGCATAGGAAAGCATTATCAATGCTTTCCTATGGACGCTTGCGTGCTCTCACTGTGATTTTCAATGAGACAGCCACTAGAGGATTTGGGGGAAGGCTTAACCCATTCATAAACATAGCAGTTTCTCTGAAACTGCTATGTTTATAAAAAAAATGGGTTAACCCTAGCTGGACCTGGCACCCAGACCACTTCATTAAGCTGAAGTGGTCTGGGTGCCTAGAGTGGTCCTTTAAGCATAGTATATGAATGAGAAGAAACCATGATTCTATTTCTCTTCCTCCAATGCATGCGTAGGCTATGCCTAAACTAGATTCTGATGTCAGTTTCTAAATCTTTAACATACAATTAAAAGAAACTGGAAAATCACATGGAAAAATGTTAAACACAAGTTATGCGATTAAGTGATTTTTCAATGCTTTATTTAAGAGAGACATTTCTACAAAAGTTATTGTTACCCTTTAAGCTTAAGGAAAACACACATTTTGTTTTTCCATGGATGTTATTTTAATGCTGGTGTAGGGACTTTGAAGAGTAATGAAGTACCTAATGGAAATTTTCTACTCCCAGTCATTCGTGTTTTCACCCATCTGCCGTAACGTGTTGTTCTTTAGATATGCTTGAAAGGTCTGTCTTTATTAAGAAATATAGTTTATACCTTTGCACTATGGTTCTAAACCCATGGTTGGACACAATACATTGGGTTCCCTTGATATTTTAGTAGTATTTCAATGTTTGGAACAAGTGTTGCCATATTCATCAAGCCCAGAACAGCCACACACATTAAATTGCTTATAGTAGCAGCACTTCCTCCCAGTGTATTGAAGGCCCCCTTGACTCAGACAAGAGTCTAATGCAGGGGATTTACGCACTTTAATGTGCCATGTTTTTTTACAATTGAAATATTGATCACTGAGCTAGGTTTATACTTGAATGACGTGTCCCATGTGAACTCCATGTACTTTATTCGGGTCACTTTCCAGAGGAGCAATAAGTGAACCCATAACCTTACGCTGAATGCCTATCTAGACATTTGCTGTAGTGCAATAGTGGGGGTGGGGGATGCAAATGTGGTAGAAACCATAATAATTGGTGACTGGTGTAAGGTTTCATGAGAGAGTCCTCAAGGAGGGGCCACAGTGGTGGCACCAGAGCAGAATAGGCACTGAGTAATTACAACATAATGTTAACTTTGTAACAGGCCCTTACTTCCGGGACAGCCAATCCACCAAACGCTGTAAGTAGATGGATTGTAGCAAAAGGTCACAAATAAATTTTGTCAGACACTCACAAATACATACTCCCAAATGCACACACACAAATTCACAGACATACATTGCTAGGCACAAACATACACACACAGACATGGAAACACACTAATACCTCTTATACTGTAAAATATATACATTTTGATTTTTGTATCCTGTTTGTCTACCTTTTGGCTGCAGTAGGCTGGCTTCCCTGACTTGAGTACTTACCGCTCTCCTGCAGCATCCTTAGAGTTTCCAGCAGGAAGTGACAAATTATCACTTCCTCCCAGGCTTCCACGTGTGTAAAGGAAGCTGATTAATTTTTACAGCTTACTGAAGCTCTTCAATGCAGTACATTGAGTTGAGATATTTCCCTAGCTGGACCACATAACAATTATCACTCCAATGTGATGGGTGTCCATACATTACAACAAATAAGGTTGTTATATAAGTAATCGATGGGGCATACCACCTCCAAAGAACCACCACTGCTGACAGACTGCTGGGATACTCTTTGAAACCCGGTATGCAATGTAAAACATTTCAAGGTTAGGAATGCTTCTAGAGACTGGCTGGAAGACAGTTTGACTCTGGGAAATGTCGCTGGACAACCTCACTTTTAAAATCCCCAGAGTTAATGCTTTCGTTTGGGGAAGGTCTAATGCGCATGTGGCGCTCACCATGTACACACATTAGGTTCCCCCCATCAGCTGATATTCCCAGAGGAGCCGGAATCAGGTGATTGAAATTTTTTAATTTTTTTAACCCTTTCATGGAGGGAGGAAGAGGTGTGGTAGCAGAGGGACGGTCTAGTGTTAGGAATACATCTTTGTATTCAAAAAAACAAAAAATCAAGTCCTGCACTCAAACTCGCGACAGCCCCAATACATACAGTAAAAAGCAAAGAAAAAAAGTTACCTGCGCTCTTTTCCAAATCCCTATGTATATTTAAACAGGTAACTGTGTGTCATATGTGGCTATGTTTTTGACATTGTTTTTCTTGAGCCTTGTAGGCTCCCATATCACTTTGTTCCAAGACAGGACTCTTGTATTTTCCAAATATCCAATTATTATTTGCTATTGCACGTGGAATGCATAATGGAATGCATATGTCATCTGATCGCAACTTGTGGAAGTGGTGCACCAGAAGTGACGTCACGCGATCACTGCGAACCCGGGAAATCTAATTTCAGACTTCTCAAGACAGCTGGACATTGCTGGAAACACCCACGGAACCACCAATAAACCAAGGGGATGACCATATATAAAGAAAGACTCAGAGGGGAGGGTTATATGCTGCTTTTATCCTCATTGTAGGATTGTTAATTACAACAAAAATATCAAGTATATGAAAATAAAGCAAACTATCAATGATCTACAGTTCGAACATAGTATGTATTCTTGGTCAATTAGGCTTTATGAAGCCCCAGTTAGTTGCTGCAGCATAAGTGTCCAAGGAGGCCCGTTGAAGAGTAAATGGCTAATATTCACTGGATCTTATCTGCTGCAGAGGCCAAGGGTCTCCAGGAGAGCCACCGGTCCTTCCAAATCTTTAACTGGGGAGGAGGCAGTGGTGGACCTACCATGGTCACAGGGGTAGCAGCTATGACAAGGCCCGTCATTCCAGGGGGCTTAGCCGCCCTGTGGACCCCTGCAAACGGGTTGCCCATTGGCCATGTGGTGCACTCTGGCCCAAGTGGTACAACCACCAGGCACGAGCATGCAGGGGCCCGGTCAGCGCTATGGTGCTTTAACAGCATGACCGGGTCGCCTGTGATGAGATCAGCATGGGAATAAGTGACAGCTAATATAGAACGCTGCAAGGGAGGGGAAGGAGAGGAGGGAGTCAGTATCTGTGTCTGTATGTGTGTCTGCTTTTGTATCTGTGTCTGTCTGTATGTATGTATGTGTGTATGTATGTATGTGTGTCTATATGTGTATGTGTGTCTGTATGTGTTTCTGTATGTCAATGTGTACAGCTATGTATCTGTATGTGTGTCATAGGTAGGTCCATGTTCTCTGTGCCAAGGGACAACTCCTCTGAGGAGATGGAGTAGTCATCGAGATAGGCGTCCATCTTGGGCCCAGACGTGCCATGTCCCTGCCTGAGAAGATCACCAATGTTCATTCCTGGCCTGGGTTTGTCAGATTTCTGCTTCTTAGTCTTCCAACTCGTTTTGTCTAATACTTCTGCAATAGCCAAATCGGGGCTGTAAAATACTGTTTAATTGTGTACAATAGCAAATTACCTCGTAGCTCATAGACAGTGCGTCTGTCAACTTCAGTCACTAGACTCCGCCTCCCATATGTGGTGTATTCAGTGTTCCAAAACCTAAATTTTACAAGTCTGCAATTAACACTCTTTAAATTTCTGATTAATTAATAAGCTAAGAAATTGCCTTTTTTTCGGAGATCAATTTCTGACATGGAGTTAAGATGGAGGCGCCCAGTTGCAAGGTTGAATTTCTACATTTAATTTTATTTTTAACACTTAATAAAAAATATATTTCTTAAATATAGGGGTTAAGTAAACAGAATAATAATGATTCTTGGAAATGCAATTGCCATGTAAAGTTATGGTCATATGATTTTTATTGACGAACAAACAATTGCCGATTTACTGTATTTCTCCCCGCACACTGACCTATCGCGTTTATTTACCAAATGCCGAAATTGTGAATTAAAATCCAAATAACAAAATTGAGACAAAAACAGCCACAGTATGTAGGATTGTGGTTTACACTAAATCCAAAAACCCGAATATTCATGGCTTAGATTTACAATGTAGGTAAAGTATTCTCATCCGTCATTGAATGTTACTTTTTAATATTTCTACCTTACATTTAAACCACTCGGTGCAGCTGCGTTTATCATGGCTTGGGACCAATGTTAGCTCAGCTTATAACTTACAGTAAAATATGTCTTTCCCTAAGAAATATCGTTCGTTTTGCAGTCACTGAAACCTAAAGCCCATGACAGGATATCAGAAACATGAAACGATTTGCAGTTGGTAACCATATATTTTTTTTATTTCCGCCATTGGTCCCAAGCAAAATGTTTGTGTAAGGGCAGCTGCAGGGAGAGAAGTAATCTCTGGTTTGATCCTAACCTGCTTGGTTTTAGTTAATTGCATTCACCTGATTGCACAGGTGACATATTATATTATAGTCAACTATACTGGTTTCTAATACAATATCAGTTCAGATTCAGCTGCTCTACATCAGTCTGTCCGATATATGCCCTATCTGTCTGTCTGACCTATCCATCTATCTGTCTGTCCGCCCATCTATATATTGATCTATCCAAGCATGTTGTGGCCATATTTTTTGAAAGAGATATATAATTATTTTAATTAATTATCCTGCCTAGCCAGAAGGATGTCAGGATGTGAAGGTATGGTCAGTGTAATGGAGAGAGTTCTTAAGATCTAGATTTGCATCTCCAAAGAGATATAATACTACATAATCCCATCAAATACTTGCTTGTCTTTTTATCAATGAGTAATGAAGAATTCCTTAAATTCCACCGGTGCCCTATCTTTCTTCAATGTCCATCTCTAAGCCTAATGACCCGATATTTCAATATTCACTCATTCATTAAATCAAACACATCTGTTGTGGTAGTATGTGGCAAATTACTAATAACAGGGACAATATAATCAGTACCTTAACAGATATTTGTAGAGTTTGATGCATTTTATTTTCGAATTTTCATTAGACACTTGAATATGATAAAATCTGGATAACTGGGAATATATAACAGGACAGCGATCCGATCTGTGACGGGAGTCTACAAGGCTCATAGTGCATAGTGCTGGGAAAATAATGGCTGTTAGGAGAAGTAGGAGTGGGCTCTAGGTTACACTTCACATAGAAACACAAGAACTGTTTTTATTGTAAATATCATTGTCTGTTTTTTTATTTATTTTTTTCCTCCGCCTCTGTGGTACCTCGCTAGTTGAGGACAGAGGATCTTACATCCTTCTGGAACGCCAGATGGCTTAAATGGGCGACGGGTTGGATAATTGGTTGATATCATGGACACCTTCCGATTATATTATATATTACTGTGCTTTCCACGGTACTTCCGTTCAGGAACATTACTATCGAGATGCATGCCCAAACACCAATCTTTGTATAAATAGATGTCACTTGTAACTTTCTCAACTGCATGTGTATGCATAACTTTAACTGCTCCGTGCTATCTGAAAAATAAAAATAAAGATTGTCAAAATAACAAAAAAACTTACCACTGAAACATACACAACCGAACACTTTGACCCAAAGTCAGTGTTGCACTAGGCTTTTAAGGTAAGTGCAATATTTAGCATTAGGGGAGTAATATTAGGTGATTTAGGTTTAAGGGGATTTAGGATTATGAATTAGAGATTTAGGGGTTAAATGGGACTTAGGTGCTGAGAACTTTAACTCTCATGATTCTCAGTTAAGTAAAGGAATTTCGTGATCATTATACATGGCAGCATTTACTCATGGGTTAGCTCATCCCTCACAGCAGAAAGGACAGGAAATAGAACTCTGAAACTGGTATAAATAGATCACCCCCCTTCCCATCAGGCAGTCTCCTGTAAGTGACCATTACTGTATCAATTCATTCACAGTGTGGGGTATAATTGAGTCTGATTTTTTGCAATTTATACTCATTGGTGCAGTGTTTTAATAACAGGCTCTCTTATTTCTCTACTAGGCTCTGCCCCTTTCTTACAGGCAGATATTGTTTTCCTGTATCTACAGGTACGTAGTTCATTAGGCAAGATGAAGCAGTGTGAATTGACTGTAATAAATACATCCAGAAAATAGTATCTACTTGTTCCAGTTCTGGTTTGACAATGCCATCCATTTGGGTTTTAATTTATATCAGTAGTGGTTTTCTGAGCCAATCACAGTGCTTTCACATAGAAAAGCATTGGATTGGCTGAGATCAGGGGCAGAACCAGGTCAAGAACCAGGTAATAGAACTATAATTTCGAGACCGTGTCTGGGTTTCATGGAGGTTCTCTAATTTTTTTTTGTTATCCATAACAAAATGGGTTCCTTATTTCTTACAAGAGTTTGTCTTGTATCAGTCTAGCCTTGTTCCTTCTCTAGGTTTGGTTATGGTGACCTTAATTCATATCTGGCTCTATATTTCTCCTCGATATTACAGACATTTCAATTCCAGGGGGTTGCCAACCTAGCAGCCTCTAGGGTAAATTAATATCCCATTGATTACTAGTTTGACTTGTTTAAAGTCTTATAAGGTTTATGCAGCTCAATAATGGTTTGTATAGCTATTAGCTGTTTTTGAACTCTGTCCCTCCCTCTATATATACTGCTTGGGTATTCCTGGAACCCAGTAGAGTAGGGGTTTTAAACTCCATCAGTTGAGTAATAAACTGTATAAATTCTAAGTTTCCCCAGCTGTATAGCCCTGCTGGTGTTTTGCATTATATTCTCTCTTAAAATGCAGATTTTTCCTTTGAATTTTCTATAACGTTCCTTGTATTTCAGTTTGTTTTTAATTATTGCAAATCATTGCAGTACGAGCTGGTAGTTTATAAAACATAATAGGTAGTAATACGTCTATTGTTTCCCCATTTTACTACAATCTCATATGTTATATATACACAGGTGGAGGAGGTCTGCTGCCAAACTCCAACTAAAAACGTGCAACAAGTGCTGATGGGAAAAAAAAAGTTTGGTAGCAGATTTTAAGCAGACACATGCATTTTTACATAGGCACTGTATTTGTGCTCTATGAATATAAACATATCTTATACCAATCTATATTTTATAACTGTAATGGTTACGCAAACACCAAATTACTTTCTAAGAGTGATATCACTTAAAGACTTAAAGTAGAAGTGGCCTTAGGCAGCTGTATGCAGGATCCGCATTTTTATTGCTGAGTCCACACAGACAGGCTGTATACCCCGGAACCACTACATTAAACAGTAATAGTTCTGTTATCCGTCTGTTTTGCTTTAATAAAGAGTCCAAAATTAACAAAAACACAGCAATACTGAGACCAAATATATTTGACAAAATTTTTTTCCTAATTTATTCTCCACGTATGGGTAAAAAAAATCCATTCTTCAACATACAGAATACAGAGCTTGCAATTCACCAATGCCTTAAATATTGCTCGCAGTTTGCCAAAATTCTCACGAAAAATCAATTTCTCTGGATGCACAGGTATTATCTATCCATTGCATGTTGGAAAAAGATGAAAAATACTTAATTTTCATATTTGTGTTAAAAAAAAAATCAAACCTCTAAATGTCTTTATTTTTAAGCAAGTTTATTTTTCCTTTAAATAAACTTGGTTACTAAGAATGTACGTATTGCACATAGCTTTCATAATGTTAATAGTCAAGTACACAAGAATTTTCTTGACTATGGAAATACGGCAAGCTGTGAAAAAGTAAAGAACTGTCACACAGCTGTGATGAAGCTGATGTCATGGTAAGTGTGAGGCACCCCAGGGTATACAGTATGAATATTACGGCCTTCCTAATTCTTCACAAGCCTTTAAGAACTAACATTTTCTAAAGTGAGGCATTTAGTTTAGAATGGATAAATTACAAAAATGTAAAAAACATCTTTGAAATTTTAGAGATCAAGTTATCCAGTTCTACGAACGTAATATTGCAAAGCAAAATGCTACAGACTCAACAAATGTATAAAATTGTGACTATCTACAACATGTAAAACAAATCAATGCCTTATTTTTTTGCTCGTGTTTGGTGGGATGTGCATAGAAATCTGGATAGACTTTATGTAAGTGAATAAAAAAAAAAAAAAAAGCCAAAATCTTTAGTGAATAAATAATGGAAGGTGAGTTCTTGCCTCGGGATAGAGGGGCTGTCTTGGACTAACAGAAGAAAGATTAATGTATGGCATAGCCCTATGTATTTTAACTAAGCCAGGGGAGAAAACAGGGCACCACCTGACTCTAAACCAATAAATGGCCAAAACTGATTCATTTTTATTGCATTGCATTGCGTACCGTTTTGACCAAGAATGGGAGCCTCCGGTGGAACATTAGGATGTCCCCTGTTTTTTTACTTAATTGCCTTCCATCCACTGGCCACTGGAGGGTGCAGGGGGTTGGACAGTAATTTTGTTTAAATTTAAAGTCCTCCCCGATGCACACGACATGGGACCTGTGGGGGATAATGTTCCCTCCTCCTCTTATGTTTCAGACCCCATCCGTCTGGCCTTATCTTAAGTCTAGGATAGCCTTATGCCTATCCCACGCATGCTTAAACTCCTTTACTGTGTTAACCTCTACCACTTCAGCTGGAAGGTTATTCCATGCATCCACTACCCTCTCAGTAAAGTAATACTTATTTTTTAAACTTAGCCGCCCCTCTAATTTAAGACTATGCCCTCTTGTTGTGGCAGTTTTTCTTCTTTTAATATAGTCTCCTCCTTTACGGTGTTGATTCCCTTTATATATTTAAATGTTTCTATCATATCCCCCTGTCTCGTCTTTCCTCCAAGCTATACATGTTAAGATCCTTTAACCTTTCCTGGTAAGGTTTATCCCGCAATCCATGAACCAGTTTAGTAGCCCTTCTCTGAACTCTCTCCAAAGTATCAATATCCTTCTGAAGATACGGTCTCCAGTACTGTGTACAATACTCCAAGTGAGGTCTCACCAGTGTTCTGTACAATGGCATGAGCACTTCCCTCTTTCTACTGCTAATACCTCTCCCTATACAACCAAGCATTCTGCTAGCATTTCCCGCTGCTCTATTACATTGTCTGCCTACCTTTAAGTCATCAGAAATAATCACCCCTAAATCCCTTTCCTCAGATGTTGAGGTTAGGACTCTATCAAATATTCTGTACTCTGCCCTTGGGTTTTTACATCCAAGATGCATTATCTTGCACTTATCCACATTGAATGTCAGTTGCCCCAACTCTGACCATTTTTCTAGTTTTCCTAAATCATTTGCCATTTGGCTTATCTCTCCTGGAACATCAACCCTGTTACATATCTTAGTATCATCAGCAAAAAGACATACCTTACCATCAAGACCTTTTGCAATATCACTAATAAAAATATTAATGAGAATGGGTCCAAGTACAGATCCCTGAGGTACCCCACTGGTGACAAGCCCATGCTTTGAATATACTCCATTGACCACAACCCTCTGTTGCCTGTCACTCAGCCACTGCCTAACCTCCCTTATATTCAAAAGGGGGACCCCATAGGTTTATTTAATTTGCTTTATTTTCTACATTTTAATGTGACTGCTGGCAATCAAGCCACATGGTTAATCCTTGCATTGTCTATGGTTTAACTATTTACCCTCTGGCAAATAGTACTTGCCAAATTATCATTATCATTATCATGCAAATGTGCATTCCTACAGGGTACATTCGTGTCTGACTTTGATTATAATCGGTGCTATGTGAATATTCTGAATCCTACACTTTGTATAGGGTTCTGATGTAAAAAGCACTGTTCTGAAATAGTTTTACTATTTACAATGTTGGGGTGCCATAGCACTCCTGTAAATCGTAACCATTATTTTGTTTCCCTAACTTTACATTTTCAAACTGTAAATCTATACCTTTCTATTAATGGGGAAATGTCACTTCTCTGTAAATTACAAAATTGAATAAAACTCTTAAAATTACCCATAATCCATGTTAACCTTTTTCGTGTAATGGCGTTGTTTTCCTTAAATATGTGCAATACAGTTCAGTCCAGGCACAACTAAGGCACACACTGCATTAGAAAATAACTGACAGCGAGCCAAGATGGCGGAGCCATTCCCTTGCCAACCCTCCTCTGGGTTTGAAATATGCTCTCAAGGGGGAATGGAATATTTGAAATAGCTCATTGTCTTGTTGGAGATGTAGATTATGATTTATTTATGTAAATCATTCTCATCATAAGCCAGATAAAAATGTGTTTTTTCTTTTCTTTTTTTGAATGTTGTGCAAGGAGCAGTTTAACTTGTTTGCTAGAAACCACTTTTGATGGCAAATTTTTCAATGAAGATTCTCATTTTATGACAAAAATCCTGTACATGGAACGTTTCACATTTCTGGTATTCCTGTAAAAAAAAAAGATCACTTTTTCTTTATATAGAACGTTTACAATGGCTGCGGCAGCTGTGTTACAATTGGCTTTCTAAGAGTAAGCAAAGGAAACAAACACGGAATTTTCAACTACACAAACCTACAAACTGTTCCCCAAATACTATGTAACTAGGATACTTACCCTTTGACACAGTAAACAGGAAGTGTCCTATCTCTTTTTGGTTAGTTTGTCAAAGGAATTTAGATTATTTTCCAAATCAAACATTTGGACCCTTATAAAGACAGGATGGGGGAATTCGAAGACGTACACGAGGCTGACAAGTTAGCAGTTGTATCTACAAACATAGCAAAGGGGATGTCACCTTTTGACTTCTGAACTATCTATTAATTTGACTCCATCAGTAGAAGATGAATTTAGCACACTTGGCCCTGTAGTACAGATAATAATTGTCCTGTGATGTCCAAAACATGTGGCATTACCTAATGTTTTCCACGTGTAACCTAAACTTACGGCTAACCATATGCTAATTTAATATACGCTCACTTATTATATTCTATCTTTGAAGAGTCTCCTTAAAAGAGAATCATTTACATTGTTAATCATAACAATAATGCAATAATGCTATTATCATTTGTATTAACATTCAATTACTATAAAACTCCCCTCCCCAGTATATATCACAGATTACTGTGAGTTTTACTCACAGTGTATATCACAGATTGTTGTGAGTTTTACTCACAGTGTATATCACAGATTGTTGTGAGTTTTGCTGACAGTGTATATCACAGATTACTGTGAGTTTCAGTGACAGTGTATATCTCAGATTTCTGTGAGTTTGGCTGACAGTGTATATCGCAGGTTGCTGTGATATCGCTGACAGTATATATTGCAGGTTGCTGTGAGTTTTACTGACAGTGTATATCGCAGGTTGCTGTGAGTTTTACTGACAGTGTATATCACAGATTGCTGTGAGTGTTACTGACAGTGTATATCGCAGGTTGCTGTGATATCGCTGACATTGTATATTGCAGGTTGCTGTGAGTGTTACTGACAGTGTATATTGCAGGTTGCTGTGATATCGCTGACATTGTATATTGCAGGTTGCTGTGAGTTTTACTGACAGTGTATATCGCAGGTTGCTGTGATATCGCTGACATTGTATATTGCAGGTTGCTGTGAGTTTTACTGACAGTGTATATCGCAGGTTGCTGTGATATCGCTGACATTGTATATTGCAGGTTGCTGTGAGTTTTACTGACAGTGTATATCACAGATTGCTGTGAGTGTTATTGACAGTGTATATCGCAGGTTGCTGTGATATCGTTGACATTGTATATTGCAGGTTGCTGTGAGTTTTACTGACAGTGTATATCGCAGGTTGCTGTGATATCGCTGACATTGTATATTGCAGGTTGCTGTGAGTTTTACTGACAGTGTATATCGCAGGTTGCTGTGAGTGTTACTGACAGTGTATATCGCAGGTTGCTGTGATATCGCTGACATTGTATATTGCAGGTTGCTGTGAGTTTTACTGACAGTGTATATCGCAGGTTGCTGTGAGTTTTACTGACAGTGTATATCACAGATTGCTGTGAGTTTTGCTGCCAGTGTATATGTCAGGTTGCTGTGAGTTCTACTGACAGTGTATATCACAGGTTACTGTGAGTTACAGGTATATATGAAACTCAGTTATACAGGCTCTGTACATGGTGTATACGGAGCCAGCTGGCTAGTTAGCTCTAGGATTGATGTGCTTCACAGGGGTACAGGGACCTAGCGGTCTCACTCTATTATACCCTATCTCATAGGTGGCGTGTAGACCAGGAACCCCTACACGAATTTTGACAGGTCGGGCATGGAACAGGATCGTACAAATGGGTAATCAGATTATTTCACTCTCTCACTACAGCACGTGAGGGCTCTTCTTTGTTATACAGGTCCCAATCACCATTGGACATCTTATCACTCTTAGACGATGATATATCTGGATGGAAATCTCAACCCCGGTTTACATTCCCATTCTTTTGAATATTTCCGGGATTCACAATCCCCAGAATAGTCGACCACCGTTTCACCACAGAAGTTCAGTTTGGGACCTTGATTGGACGTCCTTTGGGAGTCTTTTCTCTACCGCAGCCACGGATTACACAGTCCATTTGAAATACTGGAACCACTTAGGTTACGGCTAGTTTTGACCACACTCTTTCCTGCATAATAAATGTATTCTCAGATGAGACAACTCACCGGGTAGGTCATGAGGGAACGAAAAGACCCTACTCAGTTCTTTTACAGAATTGGTGGTGGACTTAGGCGCATTCCTTGAGGTTGGAGATTTGCCTGCAAGGCCACATCGCCTGGTGACCCTGGCACGATAGGAGGAGCCACCTTCCACATTCAAGAGTCGAGACATGATGGCAGTTTCTTCTCGCGGCCCTGAGTCCGCAAATGACCTTCGGCATTTTACACCTACAGGAAAATGGCTAATAGGTCAGCTTGGCAGCTCATGGATCGGCTGCTAGGAAACAGCCCACGTACAATGGATCTGTCAGCGGATGGTGTTTTTCCGTATTTGGGATGCTTCGTCAGCTGGCATCTTCATCGATCTGTCTACTGTCACTTCTTGCAGTTGGAAGGTCCATTTAGGATTGCTCTAATATCTCACGGAATAGGTACCAGTGAAACAAACAGCGTTGGATTTGTTGGCTGAGCGTTAAAACAGCAAATACAAAGCCTCCTGTCATGTTATAAAATTGTAGATTATGCTAGCTTTAGTGTACCTATAATTTTAATTTTATTAATGACAGGAGGCGAGGATTTCAATAGAGACATTTTTTAAAATTTTTGCACTTTTGGAAGTTTTGGATCAATCGCAAAAAGAATGTTGTGTGAAATTCTGAACTTGATGGAATTGAATGTTTCCTTAAATGTATTAATTAAAAAACACTGTAACTACATTTTCAGCTTGTACAAAGCATTAACTATTAGATAACTATTCAACACAGTCAACATTTTTTACAATATGACCTTTGAGCTGCTTACAAATCAGTAATAATTATAAAAATGTACAGAAATTTCTGAATGTGCATTCTTGGGAAAATTGATGGCTCAGTCCTCCACATTTCCTCCATTCTTTTAGAGGGGAGAATACAGCATGGCTGGGAAACTTGGGAGGAACTCTCCTAAAAAAAAGCTGGTGCAAAAGGACAGTTTAAATTTAAAATGAGCAGAGAAAGCCACATTGTAAAATATCCAGATACATTCAAGTAAGTACACCTACTAAATATTAGATTTTTTTTTCCAATGTACAGTATATCCTTTAATAGAACTGTTAGTTATTAGACATGTGCGATTAATTTCATTCCGAATGTAAATTCGGATGAATTTCGGGCAATTTGGAATAGCTGAATTGCTGAAGTTCCGAATTGCTGAAGTTCCAAAATTGCCGAAGTTCCGAAGTGCCGAAGTGACGAAGTGCAGAAGTTGCCGAATGTCAGGATACTGACAGGGATCCAATACGCAGAGTGCGGACAGAAGGAGGTACGTATACCGGACCTTAGAATGGCCGGACTAACGTAGGGACAAAGCAAGAATAGTCAAAAGGTAAGCCGAGGTCGAGGGAGCCGGAGGACAGGTAAGCGAGATACAAGCCGAGTCAAAGGAGAGGAGAGGACAACAGGACAAAAGACAAGCAAGGGTCAAAACCGGAAACACAAGATAAAGAACGCGCTGAGTGACTAGCAAGCTAGAACCACGACAGGGCAATGAGCAGTAGAAAAGGTTTCCTTTAAATACCCTGTTACCTAAATAGAGACCACGCCCCCAAAAGGTCCGGAATAGCGGTTCCCGGCACTTCATGTAAATGCCGACGTCATGACGTCGACGCTAGCCGTCGCGTCATAAAAGGGGGAGGAGCTAGCGCGGCCGGCGCGAAAACGGCCGGAATATGCCGAAATGCTAGGGGCAGGGAGCCCCTAAACAGAGAGGATGTCTTCCCTGGATTCAGCACCAACAGGTACCCTGACAGTACCCCCCCTTCTAGAAACGCCCACCGGGCGGATGGGACCGGGCTTAGAAGGAAAACGAACGTGGAAGGCCCGAAGAAGACGAGGAGCATGCACGTCTATACCAGGAACCCAAGACCTCTCTTCTGGACCATAACCTTTCCAGTCTATGAGGTATTGCAGCTTCCCCCTAGAAATACGAGAATCAAGGATGGACTTGATGATATATTCCTCCTGACCATCCACACGGACCGAGGATGGAGGAGTAGAGCGGGAGGAAAATCTGTTACAAACAAGAGGTTTCAATAAAGACACATGAAAAGAGTTAGGGATGCGTAGAGTAGGAGGTAGATCCAGCAAATAAGAAACCGGGTTGATCCTCCTCAGCACCCTGTAAGGACCAATGTAACGAGGAGCAAACTTCAAGGAAGGAACTTTCAGGCGAATGTGTCTGGTACACAACCAGACCCTATCACCCGGAGAAAAAATAGGAGCAGGCCGCCTACGCCTATCAGCATGTGACTTAAACACCGCGGAACTACGTTCAAGAATTTGTCGAGTCTGATCCCACAACTTTCTCAGGTTGGCTATATGAATATCAACCGACGGTATACCCTGGGAAGGAGACACCGACGGAAGAACAGTAGGGTTAAAGCCATAGTTCAAGAAAAAGGGGCTATTACGAGTGGAACCACAAACAAGGTTGTTGTGAGCAAACTCCGCCCAAGGAATCAGACCGACCCAGTCATCCTGGTGTTCAGAAACAAAACAACGTAGATATTGCTCAATTTTTTGGTTAGTGCGTTCGGCTGCTCCGTTAGATTGAGGATGATAGGCCGAAGAAAAATTCAGTTTGATGCCCAACTGGGAACAGAAGGATCTCCAAAAACGGGAAATAAATTGGGAACCCCTGTCTGACACAATCTCATTGGGAATACCATGTAAACGGAAAATTTCTCTAGCAAATATCACGGCCAGTTCAGGAGAGGACGGAAGTTTAGGCAAGGGAATGAAATGAGCCATTTTAGTAAACCTGTCAAGGACCGTGAGGATAACCGTATGCCTACTGGAAGCTGGTAGATCAACAATAAAATCCATAGCCAAACAAGCCCAAGGTTTGTTGGGAACGACTAAGGGCTGCAATAAACCACAAGGGAGATCCCGCGGAAGTTTATTCCTGACACAAACATTGCAAGCCTTGACAAAGTCTTCCACATCCCTACGTAAACCGGGCCACCAGAAGTCTTTGGAGATCAGGCAGTAAGTTTTGTGGATGCCGGGGTGACCAGCGAACTTGCTATCGTGAAAACAGCGAATAATGTCCACTTGGAATTTGGGAGACACGAACAAGCGGCCCACAGGAGTACGTTCGGGAGCAAGAGATTGTTCGTTCATAATATCAGCGAGCAATGGAGAGTGTATTTTGACATTGGTGTTGGCGATAATATTGACTTCAGGAATAATAGGGAACAAAGTGTCCTCTGTAGAGGTGATAGGTTCGTGCTGACGTGACAAAGCGTCTGCCTTAGTGTTCTTAGAACCAGGCCTGTAAGTAAGCATATAATTAAAGTGTGTAAGGAACATAGACCAACGTGCCTGCCTGGCAGATAATCTTTTGGCCTCCCCCATATACGATAAATTTTTGTGGTCAGTCAAGATAGTAACTGGGAGGACAGTGCCCTCTAACAAATGTCTCCATTCCTTTAATGCCATAATGATAGCTAAAAGTTCTCTATCACCAATGTCATATCTCCTTTCAGTGTGTGATAGTTTCTTGGAAAAAAAACCGCAAGGGTGCAGCGGCTTATCTAAACTTTGTCTTTGGGACAACACTGCGCCTATCCCTGTTTCAGACGCATCAACTTCAAGTAAAAAGGGTAGAGAGGTATCAGGATGAACTAATACAGGTGCTGAGGCAAAAGACTGTTTGAGCGTTTCGAAAGCAGATAAAGCCTCAGTAGACCAGGTTTTGGTATCGGCTCCTTGTTTGGTCATATTAGTGATAGGAGCGATAACAGAGGAGTACCCTTTAATAAAACGTCTGTAATAATTAGAAAATCCAAGAAATCTTTGTATGGCTTTGAGTCCCTTAGGTAAAGGCCAATCTAAAATCGATTTTAGTTTGGTCGGGTCCATCATAAACCCGTCTTTGGAAATTACGTAACCTAAGAAAGTTACCTGAGACTGGTCAAAGCTACATTTTTCCAATTTACAATACAATCCATGTTGTAAAAGTTTCTGTAATACCTTTCTGACTTGTCTATGATGTGAATTAATGTCTCTAGAATGGATTAGTATATCATCCAAATATACAATTACACATTCATGTTGGAATTCTCTAAGAACTTCATTGATCAAGTCTTGGAAGACGGCCGGGGCGTTACAAAGCCCAAACGGCATTACGGTATACTCATAATGCCCGTAACGGGTATTAAATGCTGTCATCCATTCATCTCCTTGTTTAATTCGCACCAAGTTATATGCTCCTCTCAAGTCAAGTTTGGTAAAAATACTCGAGCCCTTTAGTCTGTCAAAGAGTTCAGTAATCAAAGGAATAGGGTAAGCATTCCTGATAGTAATTTTGTTCAATCCTCCGATAGTCTATACAAGGACGTAAGGTACCGTCTTTCTTTTCTACAAAAAAGAAACCCGCCCCCGCCGGAGAAGAAGACTTTCTAATAAATCCTTTGTCTAAATTCTCCTTGATGTATTCCTCTAAAACTAAGTTTTCCTTGGTGGATAGAGGGTATACCGTACCCCTGGGAGGCATAGTACCAGGGAAAAGTTTAATAGAACAGTCATAAGACCGGTGGGGAGGTAAAGTATCCGCCTTACCCTTGTCAAATACAGATTTGAGGTCTAGATATTGTAATGGTATCTGAACGTCTGTGGATTGGGAAGTGTTAGCATAAGAGTTTACGGGGCAAACAGAAGTAACTCTCTGCAGACATTCTTTCCTACAACCCATACCCCAAGAAACGATTTCTCCACCCTCCCAGTCAATCTGAGGGTTGTGTCTCTTGAGCCAAGAATATCCTAGTACCACTGGGACTGCAGGGGAGGAAATTAACAGAAGGGAAATCAACTCCTCGTGGAAAATACCAACAGTAAGCTTAACGGGTTCGGTCTCATGGAATATTACTGGTTCAGATAAAGGTCTACCATCTATGGCCTCAACGGCCAAGGGTGTATCTTTCAATTGGAATGGGATACAATGCTTATTAGCGAAAGTTTGGTCTATAAAGCTTTCTGCTGCTCCAGAATCTAATAATGCCATCGTAGAAATAAACCCCTTTTCCCAAGCTAGAGAGACAGGAATCAGAAGCCTATGGTCTTTTTTATTATGCATAGAGGACAGTAATGAAACACCCAAGGCCCGTCCTCTAAGGGAACTTAGGTGCGAGCGTTT